TACTATACTAATAAAATACTATTACTTGACATTTTAATGCTGAAATAAAGCCAACAGCAACTGCCTCAAATCTTGACAATGGATGTGTGCTCAATACACATTACATACATTACTGATGTAGCTGTTATAGAGTTATCTGGTACTCACCGGTCATGTTGAACTTGTGCAACACCTTGGCAAAGTACTCCTCCTCCTCCTGTTCTGGGGGGATGTCTGGTGGGCTCTCGGTCTGCTGCTCAATCAGCATCTCCTTGGTGCTGTTGTAGAGGGACAGCAGGGTGGTAGGGATATCTTCATCATCTCCTGTCTGATCTGACTCAGGCTCTTTTGGCAAACGCAGTTTGCTAAGGATCTGGCTCCTAATGGCCTCAATGCGCTTTTTCTTCACCATCTCCAGGTCCAGTGTCTTACATGTAGACATACCGCTTACATTGCCCACTGTGTACACAACCATGAGCATCAAGAACACAAGCTTCATGGCGCCAACTTCACTGTTTGCAACCACTTACGCACGTTGGTTCTCAGCAAATCCTCCCTCACCTTTCTTTCACTGCCTGTCTCCAACCAGGGATGTTTAGGGAACAGTGAATCACTCTGTGGAGAGGTGTGAGTGATGCACGGTGTTTACCCAAGGTAGAACAATTAAAGTAGTGTGGAGAGTCCTGAAAAGTTCAAAACTACTGGTGCCACTGCTGTCGCTGCTTCTGTGAAAACCACCTCACACTTGTGTCTTCTTTACATAGAGGCAGGTGGCAGAATCCGCGTGGGCAGACAGACATCAAGTGATGAGCCAAGCTCTGACTCAGCCACACAGGTAACACAGTGACGTCCTAGATGCTGATGTGAGTCCAAAGCATAGCTGTCAAATGCTAAAAGATCCCAGCCAAACATGCACATAGACTCAGAAGAACTCTACAGCACTCATCAGTCCAAAATAATTTACCAACAAAAATACAATTCTGCTTTTGTATTCAGAGAGCAATTTGTGATTGATATGATTTCAAACCTACACACACAATATTAAACTGAATTCTGTCTCACTTGAAGCAATTGTATACACTTCCACGTGTCAGCTCAGTGCTGTATTTGCTCTTTCACCAGAGACTGGCCAGAGCAAATGTGAAGGAAACTCTTTAACGCTAAAAACAATGAGTGAGTGGTGTTGGCAGAACCCAACTTACTGAGTATCTTAGTCTAAGGCTTTTCAGCTGACACCACTTCCTGTCCTTGAATCAGGTCTCTTCACAGATCATTGAGGACAGTTCTGTACATGGATGTGATGTCAAATAAGCCCCCTCTAAATGTCTCTAATACGTCCTGTGCTTAAAATGGAAACTATTTCTCTGTTTTTGAAGTTTGATCAGATTATCTTTGGCTTCCTTTACAGCCCAGATAAAACTCTCAGGGGATTTGAGTCAGTCCAGAGCTAATCAAATATCCACGGTGCAGTAAAAGATTGTAAAATGTAGTATTTAAATAAATCACTTTCACTAACTTATTCTTCACCAGTCACAAACCTATGCAGTCAAGCCATAAGAAATGTCCCTACAGAAAAACATCTGATAAACTGGTATCGCTGTCCGCTCTGACTACCTCTTTTTAGAAATAACAGCATGTGATCTGCGTACAGCTGCAGTTCACCAGAAACTGCTTTCAACACATCCGACTCATGCCTTCTTCACACACAGAGCAGCTGTCTCTGTAACTGTGTCTTCATTCTCAAATACAATTCAATAGTGTATGCTCTCTGTGTATCAAGCCTGAGAGGAAAACAGCTTAAACAGATGCTATCAGAAGATAAAAACACAGCAAAACTGTCTATCAAACACTGTCCTCCTAACAAAATGTTAAGTTTGACACACTTTCTCTTTAAATGTGTGTATCATCCAGAAACAGCAGCTGTAACAACAGACACAGCAGCTGGAATGACAACAGTAGCAGGAGTAACAGTTCCTCTTAGCTCACACTGTTTTGGGAATCGGAGTGTAGTCTCGTCTCTGTCCTCTCTTTATCTATCCATCCATCGGCATCACCTCGTTTATGCCCTCTGCAGCTCCTTCACACCTTCCCTCTTGAGTCTCTTCTGACACGACTCCCTGTTCACACTTCTATTTAACTCCCTGCCTCTCTGCCTTTCTCCCTGTGCGCTCCCTCTCTCCTGGTGCTTGTCAGAGCTTGCTGGTGACAAAGTGATTTGTGAGAGCTCTGAGCTCAGCTAACTTTTGTCTTGCGCTCACTCGCTCTGCCTCTCTCTCCCTCTAACTCGTCTTTTTTTTCTGGTTCCTGTTACTTGTCTAATAGAGCGAGGAGCTCTCCGCCCAGGAAATGAGGGTAACGGCCGCAGTGTAACACATCTGCTGTTTTACAGAGCTCTGGTGCCTGCCCTCTGTCCGGATCAGGAAGCCAGGATTGAACACACTGAATGACTGACTTTAGAGGCCTCAGCTCTCTCACACTCTCTCGCTTGTCTGTCTCTGAGACTGACATGTCAACAAGCCTTGCATGGCACCAGCGTCTCGCCAAACTGACAGCCACATTTACCTGGTGGCTGCGAAGGTGAACGCCTGCCAGCCCAAAGAACTGAGCCACTTGGGACTAGCATTTCTAAAAGTAGAACGCTGAAGTTCAAGGGATGGAGAGCCAACAGGGCTGGACTGTGTGGTGCACTGTCCTACGTCTGGGTGCTTTTTAAAGGTTGGATTGTGTATTTTCAAAAGGAAGACTAGACGAAACAAACCAGTGATGGTTTCAGTCATTTTGTCTCTGTCTGAAGTATGATTCAACAGGGAAGAAAAGATTGCTATAGTAGCCTACAGTCTTTGTTTTTTAGGTTTTGCCTGAAAGTGTTTCCTGTGGGTGTCTATTGTCTTCCATTCACTGGGACACTTATGAAGAATTAACCATTCATCAACCACTGACAACAAATGGTGACATTTAACATAAGGAAACTCACGGCAAAAATCCCCTGAGTTACCACACTATAAACAATTCGACAGTGTCAACTGCACTATGTCACTGATTACCATTAACGATAAGAGGGGGAAAGTGCGGCTATCAAATGTCAACAACTATTGCTGTTGTGTTGTTCTGTATGAATTGATAGGTGTTCACTGTCACCTGGTGGTCAAAGATGGTACATGACATGTTAAATACATGTTCGGGTGATTTTCCTTTTGGTGATAACACACCAACGTGTTTGGGTTGACATCTCTATCATCAACCTCAAGCCTATGTTTAGTTCATCCACACACTTCATCCACTCTTTTCACACAAAATAATTGGGCAGTACAAATGTACACAGCCATTATAACAACAGTGTATACTGTATGAGGTAGAGAAGGGTCACAACAGACATAATTACAGGTGTTTCTTCCTGTATCATTTTGTCTGAGAGATAAAACAGTAAAATTAGAATTAAATTAAATCAAAGACGTCTCTGTATATAAATAATATTTTTTTGTATATGTAAATGTTATCACGCTTGCTTTGGCAAATGTCTGTTTCCCATGACAATGAAGTCCCACTGACTTGAACTGAATGAAGTTCTTCAGTGCCCCCACAGATTTTCATTACCATAGCAGTTGGGCATTTGGTGAATCGCAGATAATGAGCATTTCTTCTTTCACTATTTTGACAAGAACGTCTGAACACAATCGGACAAAAAAATATGAAAGCTGCATTAACAGATGAAGCCACTGAACAGACATTGGGCAATACAATTGCTCTTGTCATGCAAATAAAGCTTGATTCAAAATCCCAAGTAAATGCTCTGAACTATTCTCTACTTTCCATTTGCATTTGCATGGGCCTATGAACACAACAACTCTGTGCCTTACTGACCCTGTACAACTAACACATCTTACCAGTCTGCCATGAGGCATTTCATACCATTCACCACACGGTCTCAATGCCAGCACCTCAAAGTGTGTCTCTGAGCACAAAAGTGCAACATGGTCTGCTTTCCCATCATTCACTGTGAAGTCCTAGCCTAAATGATTCTCGGCGTGATTCTGCAGAAGACCTGTGGCAAACCCCAGACTCTCTAAGCCAGAAGAAATATTCACAGTTAGCAGGGAGAACAGATAGTCTGTAAATCATGTTACCACATCAGAGTCGGTCCAGTATAAATTCCATATCTGATGAAACTATTTGGAAAACAGCTCATTTGTTAACTGCCTGTACTGGTGTATGGACATGTGTTCCCATACACCAGTACACAATAAAAAATACACAATAATATTTTTTTGCACAATTTCTTTTTTGATGAGTTTTTTTTGTGATGTTTGTTTTTGATGAAGCCCTTAATCTATGACAACTTTCTCCTTTTTAGAAACTATAACCTTAAGCAGGCAGAGTGCATGCAGGTAGGCAGAGGCAGCCAAAAAAATCTTCTGAAATTAAATTATCTACCCTTGCTTTAATATTCCTGTTATATAATATATTCCTGTTTCAGTACATTCTAATCAGTCATTGCAGAAGCACTGAGATCTTTTAGTCTAGTATGGTAAAAGTCCATCCATCCATCTTTCGTGAACTGTTTATCCTGCGTACAGGGTCGCCGGGGGCTGGAGCCAATCAGCTGACTTCGGGCGAAAGGCGGGTACACCCTGGACTGGTCGCCAATCCATCGCAGGGCAGTAGGGTAAAAGTATGATACTAAATTGTAAAAATACAAAATTACAAGTAGGCTACAGACAAAGTTGTTATCAGCGAGGCTTAAATGTAGTATCCCATAAAAGTCAAAAGTAAAAGTACCATGTATGCTGTTAGGCTATCATAAATGGCCTAATTAGATTATTAGGCAATTACATAAATGCCTAACAAGCATATTTGTTGTCGCAAGATGGTTGAGCTCATTTATAGTCTACTACATTAATAGCCTATTTCTGTTGGGTATATTAAAAATAACTTAAAATCTTAATCTTTAAAGCCTCATCCCCCAAATTTTGATCAATACGTCTCCATGTCTCTTTTCACCAAAGATTTATTGGATTTTGCAGCATACTTTCTCATATTTAAAATATTGGTAGTAGGTTTAAGTTATTACAGAATTGGTAATTACCTACTACCTAATTCATTTGGAATTAGCTTACAGTCTTGGCTGCTCCGTCTAAACTTGCGTCCACCTCGGTCTCCGTGGTTACAACGCACAGCCTTGCTATCCAGCTTTGTGAATTACTGTTTGTGTGCAGTAGGCTATTATTCTTGCTGTTATACGCAGTTTCTGAGGGGTAAGTGAAACGTCGTATTGAGCGGCCCATTATTTCTGTGTATGAATATACGAGATATCGTTTCAGTATAAGTGGATTCAAAATGACAAGTTACTGAGTCAGTGGACTGTGCTGAAGGGGAACCAGAAAGGGTTACCCTGGTAGTGACGGCACGTAGGACGAGGAGACAGCGGAGGGAGGGAGAGAGAGACCTCTGAAACCCTTACTGTAGCAATATTTCATACTGATGTTATCAATTTAAGCCCAAAAGGGCTGGGAGAAACGGCTGTGCAGTAGCCTACACATGCAGCTTTGCGGACTTTTGATGGACATAAACCGTCAGCATACTCGCTGCTGACTTGTCGATGAAGATCCTTTCAGAATCTGGACAGGTGAGTGTTGAGATAATGCTGGTTGTTACACTAAAAAAAAATTACTACTATGAGTTGCTTTTGTCTACAGACAACACACATCTTATTATAGTCTGTGGAAATCTCTCTCAGGTGTTACAGGTTACAGCCTTTCGAAAAATAATAGAATCCCTTAACCAATTTGGTGATTAGGCTACAGAGATGGGGGGAAACTGTAGCAGCCTCCATGGAAATACCATAGACATGTGCATTATGTTATTTTATGAAGCGAACAATAATGTGGAGATTTTTAGGCTACATTTATGGCTATGACTTTTTTCTCTTTTTCTAGAAATGTTAGAAATCTCATAGTAATTTAACATTTATATTATTGAAGTATGATATTGGTGTATTTTGGGCCTACTGCTGGATCATATGTTGTGTTTATTATGATATTGTATATGATATTTATCTATTGTTGTGTTTTTATTATGGTTTTTCCTCTATTTGTCTATAATATATGTGTATATATATATATATATATATATATATATATATATATATATATATAATGTATAAGGTACCTGCAAGATTTGAGAGCATGTCTGTTCATGTATGCACTTTATTATATTATTTTGATGTACATTCACTATACAGAAATCTACATCCATTAACCACATGGAAATATGAACGAACGTTTGTAATGGTTGCTTTATTTTATGAGGTGATTGGTGTAGACAATCAAGTTACCTCCTACAAAAGATGGCTTCTCACTATGTAACACCATTTGCCTGATGACGGTCTAGCACCACAACGTTGTGTCAATACATATACATTTTTTGCAAGTTAGACAGTGAGCGGGAGTTTTCTTTGCAAATTAGGCGAACAATGAAGTATCATAACATTTTAGCAAGGTAGTGAGTTTGTGAAAACATTTGCCTTTTGACAGGTGACAGCTACTAACTGCCCAATGGAGAAATATGAAAAGCTGGCCAAAATTGGCGAGGGTTCCTATGGTGTGGTGTTCAAATGCAGACACAGAGACACTGGACAGATAGTTGCCATCAAGAAGTTTGTGGAATCTGAAGATGACCCGGTCATTAAGAAGATTGCATTGCGAGAAATACGTATGCTGAAGGTGAGAAGAGATTAGTATCTCCCAATAGTATCAAGTTTGCTTACATCTAACACCACAGGTAGACACGTGCATGCACACAGGTATGCACAGACTCATTAAGTTGTTGCAATGAGTCATGCACAAGTATTGTTATATTATGTATAGTGTTGTATATACTGTATGTAGTATATAAATATCTTTTCGAGACTTCAGAGTTGGGGCAGACCTGTAGGTTTGATAAGACATTGCATTAAATATTTATCCAGCATTTTGGGCTGTTAAGTGCTAACACAGTGTACATGTTCTGCATTGGCCCTGCAGCAGCTGAAACATGTGAATCTGGTCAACCTGCTGGAGGTCTTCAGGAGGAAAAGACGGCTACACTTGGTGTTTGAGTTCTGTGAGCAGACGGTGCTCAATGAGCTGGACAAACACCCTCGAGGGTAGGTCAGGGGCTACACAGTGCTTTAAACATCTGCTGCCATGTGATCTGTGGAAGTGTTGTTGAGTACAATTTGAATATACCTGCTTACTCTCTGCTTGTTCTGGGTCAGAGCAGTGAGTTACGGTATAGATACTGAAGGATCACTTTCCATCTTGTATCTGTACTACAATTTTGAGGCAATTATACTTTACTTGAGGAGTTCCCTTAGATGCCACTTTGTACTTCTACTTCACTATATGACTACTACAAAATGTATTTGACAAATTACATACAAAATCTATAACCAGTTTATAAAATATTAAATACACATTGTTAACAAGTTAAAATTTGGTCCCTGTCAACAAGCTAGGCCTACAACATTAAAAAGCTGCTTCAATGTCAGTGATTATCATCAAAAAATATAATATATAGTATATGTGTATAACTGAAAGGGGTAATTTATTAATTACATTTTGCTAATACTACTTTCTAACTTTTACTTCAGTACAATTTGAGTGCAGGACTTGTAATTGGGTGTTTTGAGAAAAGGGCAGCAGAAAGGAACAGGGTGAATTACAAAGCGGGAGTCAAGACTGTTGCCAAGAGATTTCAAAGACGTAGAAATTGGCAACAGAATGAAGGGAGGAACAGCCAAGTCTTAAGCAAAATGTTACTTAAGTTTAAAGGAAAGTTTTCTTGCTTCATGTATTGAGCACTCCTCACGCAAAATATGTTAACAAGATCTTATTTTTGTGTATTTTTTGTCATGTTAAGTCACACAGTAAGACTAGGCCACAATGGCTAGCAGACCATTTTTCTTTTTCCCACAAGGCTGTGCAGCAGAAACTCTAGCTGCTTCTGAAAACAAAGGCGCTGTTGCTGTTAGAGGCAAGCCTAAGGTTACCCGGGTGACAAGAGTGCTGTGTAAAGCCCCACTTCTTTTTTGAAATCTCTGGAAGAATGGATAAGGAAACTTGACTAGTAAAAAAGGTTTTGTTTTGTTCCTCTTACGACAATCAATATAACATAATCCTTTGTCTCTTGTCCTCTTTAGGGTACCCGAGACTCAGCTGAAAAGTATAGTGTGGCAGACTCTGCAGGCTGTTAACTTTTGCCACAAGCACAATGTCGGTATATTTTTAACCTGGTACTTAACTGAATGTTTGTTTGTCTTTTCTTTGATTGTCTTCCACACTGTTTATTTTCCCTTCTTTTTTTGTCTTAAAGGATCCGTTTGGAATTTGTTTTGGACTGCCTTAAAACAATTCTGTAATGCCATATGTTCAGTACATTGGAGTTACTGGTGTCCGTAATAATTTCTTTCTCTCCACACTGGCCATGCAGTGATCTATTCCTTATGTGACCATAGACTGTATAAAAATAGTGGATGTAGTCATTGTGACGTCACCCGTTGGTTTGAGGACTGCCATTTTGAAGCCTCGAGTCTGGCATTATGGCCACCACCATGTTGATTATTTGTAACCAGCGGCACAGAACGTGACCATATTTGGACAAGACTGTGGAGCCAACGGCTCTGTGTGGAGCTAGCTATCTTGTTTAGCTAGGTGCATCTGTAATTCACTTTAACTGTCATTTTAACCGGGATGATGACAACTTTGGCTAGCAAAAAAACAAGCTTAAACAAAACGTAGGCTTACTCACCAGAGAAAGTGAACAGCCAACGCCTTATAAGCATTTTCAGCGGCGCTGGTTAAATTTGCACAGTGCCGTGGGTACAAGTCACTCTAGCCTGATTGACAGGTCGCCATGGTAGTGACTTTTCAATCACAAGATAGTCCCGCCCTAAAGTAAATTCTGCTTTATGGTCTATTTACCTCTAAATTGGACCATCATTTACTAAATGAACATAGTGCCATGTTAAAGAAGACATGAAACTAGCAATTGAGACTATAAACTCATAATCAAAATGTTTACTAAGGTAATAAATCAGGTGAGAAGTAGGGTCATTTTAACATAATTTCTAATGGAGCCGGACATTTTTGCGACCAGAGAAGTCACCCCCCTGCTGGCTGTTCGATAGAATGCAGGTTTAAGGAACTTGCGCATTTGCCTCACTTCTCATACCCACGGGTTCCCGCTGTGACTAGACTACAAAAGATTGGGGAAAATCCACAGCCTCATATAAACTTATGCTGAAGACTGTGGATTTTGTCCATATTTTACAATGTTACTGGAAAAGACAACCTCGATGTACATATGGCACCAGATATTGTTTGAAGATAGCCTTTAAAAAATCTGAAGAAACACTTAACGTTAATTAATGTTTTCTGTTTTTACTGTTGACTGTTTATATTTACCATTTTACATATTTTATGTGACATCATTGATCTGACAATGATGCTTTTTAGCAGCATCTTTGCATTGCACACACTCTCTGAAGGTATTAATATTATTATTAATTATTATATCAGGTAAATACTTGTGTTTGCAAGAGCATGTGGCTGCACAGCACGACTTGAAATATTTTGTGACAATAGTTTACCAATTCTCAGAACCGTGCAAAACTCAGTTTTCAGTACAACATATTTTCCTGGAAAACTTCTGAGAATTGACTGAAGCTGTCCAACAGACACCTGTAGGGAGTGGTTTGGATTATAAATAGGACTGTTTAATTAGAAAAATGTGCACCACTTGAACAACTATTCTAACTTTCCTAACAAGCCACAGTAAGCAAAACTCTGACTTTGTTAAGGCTTCAATTTCCCTAACAGGAATAATTTAAAGTATCAGTGACAATGCAATGCAGTATTCATTTTCAATATAGAAGTGTGTATAGGTTTCTGATCTCTTTCTATTGTTCCTCCTTATTACAACCCTTGTTCTTTGTCACTAAGAGACTGTGTATCATGTTGCCAAATCCCTGATCCTGAGCATTTATGTTGCAGTGCATCCACCGTGATGTAAAGCCAGAGAACATCCTCCTCACCAAAAGTGGAGTCATCAAGCTCTGCGACTTTGGCTTCGCCCGCATTCTGAGTAGGTCAACCAGAGATGCATTTATGTGGATTTAGTGTTAATGTACCGCAAATGACTTATTCAACATGGAACCTATATCAACTCCTGCTTCTCACTTTCAATGTTTCAATGAATGCACTGCATAGGAGGACCATTCAGGCAGTTAGTGCGTCTCTGTGTGGTGTGTCACTGTTTACCCTTCCTGCCTTAGGTTTCGGTGTTATGTTACCATACGTTAACATGCAGTCATGTAGTCATTCAGCATGCCATGTAATCCCTTCCTCTACAATGTACATGTTATTTAGTGTTCATTATTCAGCATCTAAGTGTATGCATGTCCATACAAGTTACCTCAATCTCTGTGTATCGGTATACTCAGCAGGACCAGAGGATGACTACACAGACTATGTAGCAACCCGCTGGTACCGGGCCCCCGAGCTACTGGTGGGGGATACTCAGTACGGGCCTCCTGTGGATGTGTGGGCTCTGGGCTGTGTCTTCGCTGAGCTGCTCCATGGTAATCCACTTTGGCCTGGGAAGTCTGACGTTGACCAGCTCTACCTCATCCGAAAAACTCTAGGTACGCTGATAAGGGGCCACATCAATGAATGCTTAAAAGAAATAATCTACCTATGGATGCACTTGCACAAACTCACGCTCAAACTCATAATTATGATCACTGCATATGTCATTGCTTTCTTGACATTTTCCTTGTTTTTAAATTCATACAAAAATCCCATATCTTCATCTCACAATCTTGTGGTTGGCTTGATTTGCTTTCACGCCCAAACAAACTGCATGAGTTAGCATGAAAGCAGGCTGAGATCTACATCTACATTTTTTAAGTGGTCCAGTTGTTTGGCTGCTTGACAGCTTTCACGCCAGTCTACGCTAATTAAAACCAAACGACAAAATGGACCAGAGTTTGTGTTAACCGAACAGGTTAGGTGTGCCAGCACCCTCAAGAAACATAAAGAAGCTTTACTTTACTGAATAAGAAACCTGCTCTTGTAAGCTTGTTGAACCAGTATAGGAAGCAGTCCTTGCAATTTTATTTTGAGGAGCTAACACCAAACTTTACGTACTACAGATATTTTAGATCTTAGTTCAATGTTTTGAGAAGGTTTCTTGAGGAATATTTCCACCAATAGGCACATTGATAAATTTTTATAATCTGATTTCTGACGTCAGGTGACCTGATCCCCCGTCATCAGCAGGTTTTCCGCTCCAATGTTTTCTTCAGTGGAGTCAGTATTCCTGAACCTGACACGACGGTAAGAATCCTGTTACCAGTGGAAATGTATATGTTCTTAATGGAGAGGCAATGAAGAGTGTTTGATGTGGTTATGTCCCGTTTATTTTTGCTCTTAGGAGCCCTTGGAAAAGCGTTTCCATGGAGTGTCTCTTCATGCCCTTCAGGTTATGAAGGTATGTTATGTATTGTGTAATAGATCCTGAATCATATACAGGCAAATTAACTTATCACAGACATATTGGTATGAGGGTAGTGTATGTGTTGGCTGATAAGTAACAAGAAATTGCAGTACAGCAAAGCTAAAGCTACTACAGTATATCTATGTAACAGTGTTGCCATTACATATTGTCCACTGTAAAATATTCCTCTTAAGTAAATTTCTTGGTCACAATTCAAGTTCAGTTTTTTAGGTTATTAAATGAGTATCGGGCAGTGTATCATTATCTGACTAAATTCTTAATCACTTATGTATCATATCGACCTCAAAAACCCAATACTCCAGGTCCAGAGCAGGTTGAAAATATATTTATCAAGGCAAAGTCAATGTTCTGAAATAGAAAATATTTTTAAATGCCAAGGCTCCATGCTAAGCCTGTGCGTTTCTGTGTGAGCAGTCATGCCTGGTGATGGACCCGTCTCAACGGCTGTCCTGTGAAGAGGTGCTGGAGCTGCCTTACTTTCAGGAGGAAGGAGGAGCCAACTGGGGCCGTGAGGGTGAGCGTCTCGGAAGACGTCATGACAAAGGCTCCCGTCGCAGGCAGGCAGGGGTACGTATAAAACGCTGTTGCTTTATGGTGTAAGAAATCATCTCATAATCCCAAATTTACAGAGTGTGCACCTGCTACAGTTACACATGTCCGCAGATCAATGTACCTCTACGGATACTTACTTGCTCACTGGAGTTTATTATAGCAGAGAGCCAGACAGAAGAATTGGTGGCAGAAGTTCATCGTCTTGCTCATGGACACTTAATGTGGACCCAAAATATTTTAGTATAAAAGAATCACCTCTGTAGGCTTGAAAATGTTGCTATGGCTTGGTTTCTGCATTTATATGGTTAGTGTGTTCCAAGAGAACAACAGATTCCTCTCTCTCTGAGAAACTACCTACTTTTAAACAGCCACCTTTAAACCTTTAAGTAGAGGAACATTTAAAATGTTCACTACTAGACACACTGATAATGATCTCAAACAGGAGATTTACACCTTTCTCTCTCTCTTCCACTTTTCTCTCCCTCTCCCTCTCTAGGCTCAGTACCTTCCTCAGTTACCAAACAGCAACATCTCACCAGCACCGGATGTCAAGAAACAGGTGAAGCATAAATATCACCTGCCCAACATTTAATAAAGCAGCAAATTGATCGACGCGTTTGTGGCTGAACTGAGAAAGATGGACTTGTGCTTTGCTTTGTACAATCATTTTAATACAGTCCAATTTGAAGACATATTTGAAGTATATATTTTTGGAGTGACTGTAAGAAAGTGTATATTAATTATATGATCCATGTCATGTTTGACATCATCACTTAAAAATCTTTACACAACAAACAATAGATTGGGCATTTACAGTTGTAGCTTAGGTGACACACTTACAGTACAATCACCAAAGAGTAAAGTAAGTGTCCGTGCTGAAGACACCTTGCACCAGATGCAATTGGTACTGAATTTTCACATCTCTATAAAATGATATTAACCAGTGTGCCATCATCACTCGGACAAATACTATAGTTTCTTGTTTTCTGGCGAAATCATGACAACTGATTTCCATGTAGGTTCATACTGGCTACAAAATATGTACTACATGTTAGTATTAATCTATTTAGCAAGATCGTCAATAAAGCACAATATTTAATAATATTTATTTTCTGATAGATTTGATTGTAAAAATATAAAACTTATTAATGTATGACATATATTTAGGTTTAGTACACACTGTAAATTTTGTATTACAGAACCAAAAAAGTACTGAATATATATATATATAATACCATATATATTGCTGTACACTTGATGTAATAACATCCTTACACTGACTTATTAAGGTTTGATAAAAACCTGCCATGACAGTTGAAACTCTAAGTAATTTGATGGATTCTTAACATATTGCAGACTCAGTCTTTGACACTGATCCCCAAAGTCTGACGTGTACATTATACGTACTGTTGGTCACAAGATGATTGATGCAATTAGGATAAAACATTCAGTATTTCTTGTTTATTAATAAAATACATTCATATACAATTCTTTTTAGTTATTATTGTGTGATTCATGCATTTTTTGACATATTAAGTAAGATAGCCTTTTAAAAAATCTTTGACGAGCATTATGACGCTTATTTTGCTGTGTCGTCACAGGAAGGGAAGCGGCTGGACTACAAACGAGCTGTTTTTAAAATATTGTCTCAACAGGAGTCCAGGAAATTACAAAAACAGTTCTCTCCTCTTTCAAATGCAGATATCTGTGTGTACTGTACTGGTGTGAGCATTTGTGTGACAAAAATATTTTAGAAAGTCAGTTGGGTACATGGAAATTCTTGGAAAACCAGTAGACATTATCTTCACCATTAAAAGTGTAATTTTTTAACAGGCCTGCAGCACCATCAATGGCCTCTCAGTTTTTACATTGTGAGGTTATTTGCCAACAGATGCCCCTGTGGGCTCTGAGAAGACATGGCCAGAAGTAAACATGGCCAGGAGAAAGAAATCAATTTTCTTGATCTACTCACAAAATGAGGTACTTTAGAATCAAATGATCCATTTGGGATTTTGGGAGTTTGAAGGCTAGAAGAAAATATGAAAACACATGAGTATGCTGTAAAATCTCATTAACCCCGGGGTGTTGCAATGATCTTGTAATTGCGAGGCACATTGGCGAAGCTGCTGTTCTCAGGGCTGAGATCTACACTGTCAGGTCCTCCAGGGCAAGAAAAGGTGAAATGCTGCAGAAGTGACACCATGAAGAGGAAAATCTCCATGCGAGCGAGGGACTCTCCGACACAAGATCTCTTTCCTGAAAGATTACCACAAGAAAAAAGTATGAGAATGAGAATATATATATATATTCTTGAGATAAAATGAAAAATATTTGCAGGGACTGGGTTTATAATTTGCCTCTTAAACACATTATAGCTCAGAAAAGAGCACGACAACACTATAATCTGCAAGTAGGTTCAATGTTCAGCAACATTTTCTGAGTGAGTGAAACATAGTGAGAAAGAAATGTATTGACTAAAAACTAATAATTTACCTGCAGAGAATGGCAGGAATGCAGGATTGTTCTTAAAGTTGCCATTCTGGTCCAGGAAGTGCTGGGGATTGAAGGACCAAGGGGTCGCCCAGTGTTTTTCCGTTTTCAGCAAAGAGTGCAACAAGGGAACAATTATTGTATTCTGTTGAGACAAAAAATATGTATCACTTGGGACATTTTGTGTAATCTGGGAAAATTTTGCATCAGTAAAACTATGTGTTGAAATCAGAATACCTTGGGAATTGTGTAACCCCGAAAAGAGATGTCACGGAGTGCATAGTGAGGGAAGCTCATAGGGGCAATGTCCAGAAAACGCTGAATTTCATGGAGGACTGCATCTGTAAAGGGGAGGGACTTCCTGTCCTCCATATAAGGACAACACCCCTGTCCAATCACAGTGTCAATCTCCTTTTGCATGGTCTCTTCAGAATGAGAAAAACATTTAAAGTGAGATATGCAATTCAGGAGAAATCCAATTCCATATATAACAACACAGCAAGTAATGTAACTAACATTAGCAAACTGTTGCTACAGCTGCTGCGAGGCTAACATGCTAAAATGTCCCAGACAGCGATATTCACAACCCTCTTGCTGCTATAGCTAACATCACAACAACAGCATATATCTGCAAACTAGAAAGTAAGCTGAATGTACGTGGGCAAGTCATATAACGTTACCTGACACCTCATGGCTGGAATGGCTGGAATAGTGATGTGTGGCGTGATCTGAGCCACTTTGTTTCCCATTTACAGGACAATAAATTAGATAATCAACAAAAAAAAAAACTTGATTGTTTGATAAACCTTAACCCAAACATTTACTTGTTCCAGCTTCTCAATTGTGGTGATTTGCTGCTTTTTTATACATGCCTGACATTCATCTAGAGTGAATGTATCACTAGAGGACTACTCTACATGCAACCAATGACAAGGTGCAAGGTCAAAAGCTATAGTGCCGTGAATCAAAACATTTATCTGTGAACCTACAATAAGAGTGCAAATAGAGATGTGTTTAAAAAGAAAAATCAATTTGATTTAACGTCAGGCTTGTTGAATGTGTCCCCAGTGTCTAGATGAAGCAAGGTTACACTGACTTCTGTGACCTACCCTGTATTTTGGGGTATTTTATCAGTACACTTAGTGCATATCTGATAGTTGAGCTGGTGGTTTCAGTTCCTGCCAGGAACAGATTCAACACTGTTGACACCAAATTGTCATAGTGAAACTCAGTTGTGGGAATATGCTTTTCCTAGAAGAAAAAAACAAGAGCATTTTTACTGATCTGACAATATAACCTGCAATATGAAAATTCAACATGTTAAAATGCAGTTCATCTATGAACCTAGTGGCCTATACTGCCAAGGGTCTTTGACACTGCTCAGTATTTGCAGAACTAGCTCATATTATTGGGAGTATGTACATTTGCATGAATAATGAGTAAATGCCCAGAGTAAATGAAACAAACCTAACTTTTAGCTTACAGAGGCTTATTCTAGTTAATGAGTTCTAACATGCCTGACTGAGTCTAGTGAGAAAGCAGTCGATGTAATCTCTGGGTGAGCTGGGGTTCAGCGTGTCCTGGTGTTCCTGGATCCTTCTCATCATAAAGTCTCTCAGGTCTTCAACTTCGGCAAATATTGTGTGCTGTTGACCTGGTAGCCACTCCATCAACCGAGGGAAGATATTATACAGCTGTGATGGGGAGAGGAAAGGATGTATTAACTACACCTATGTGTCCCACAGCCAGTAGTAACTATGTCAAAAGTACCTGCCAACATTTGGTGTTTGAGTATTTGAGATATTACATACAAATACAGACCTTCACCGTAAATGTATCATGGCAAAGAATAGTTTATGAACATCTGTGTGAAAGATGTGTAAGGACAGCTTGTCTAGTACCGTCTATAAGGGCAGACTGAATGTTGTTGAACTTCAGCAAATTGCATGTCTAGGCATGTTCAGTCTTTAATGACTCCAGAAACCTGAACCTTTGTGTTGTGTATCACTTGCAGCATTCCTGTATATGCATTTTGTTTCTCTATGCCACATAATGAGTTGTCATACCGGTGAAGTTTGCATGTGCATTATGTAACTACAGCATTTATTCACAACAGTCAACATATGTGCGGTCAAAGTGATGAAGATTTTATTTTTTATTTCCTTGAATTGCTGTGTGTGCACTTTCTCTGCCACAGTAGGTAATTGACAAACATAGCACAAACATACACTTCATTGTGTCCTAAAATAGAAAATAATGAGGGGAAAGGCCATCCTTTATACTTCATAGAGTTCTTCACCTGCAGTAATTATTTCTGACTATCATATATTAAATCACAAAACATTTTAGAAGTTGCTTCACTTAAGTAACTAATTGGTGAGGTTCTCTAAATCAAAACCTTAAAAAATGGGGAGGTTTTAATCATGTCCTATCAATTGTGTAACATTGATTAATAATAATTATAAGATTATTTATTGCTTGGGTCCTTGCAGAGTGGCTATGGTCTTCCCAAGCACTAACCCACCCGTCCTCCACTTCTCTATCTCCTCCTTTTACCTGACCCCAGGGACTGCTGCCAAACTTCAGGATTTCTGAAATTGTCTGCAGAATACGGAGGAAGTTGTCATCGTCATAGTTGAAGCGTTGACCAAACACTAAGCAGCAGATCACATTGGACACGGTGCAGCTCATGAAGTAGGTGGGATCAAAAGGTGTGGCTGGAGAAAAAGGTGAAAGTACTAAAGTGAATTTTCAGTTTGACTGTTTGAAATGCCAGCCCCTGGCTTTATATCTTCTTTATATGAATGTTTGTTGTGGTCATCATTACCATTTAATACAAAGTCAAAAGCACTCAATCTTTTTTGTTTAATATAGAGTTTGATTTATTTGGAGTGGTTGCTTGCTCATTGCTCTCCTTAGTTGGGAAAGTTTAGTGTCAGTAGACGACACTTTTATAGTCTCATGGTTCCACCTTGTGGCAGTGTGATGTATAGTGGTACATCAATCCAGGATTCTTATTAGGTCCCTTGTAATGACTGTGTTTAATCATTTGTATTAGGTTTTTCTTTTTCTTTTCTTTTTTTTTTAATTTCTCCCTTTTTCAGAAACCACACACAAATATAAACTCAAATTTCTAACATCTGGAGTTGTATTCCAGTACAAGCCACTCGTTTAGCAATAAAGTTTTTTCCAACTGGAATTTCAGAACTATTTCTGATTTACAATGTCTGCTTGGAAAATACCCTGAGCAGCCATCAAAATATATAGACAGAAAGCTGCATGAAGTCAGTACTGTGGCCTCAAAGAGCTGTCCCTGTATGTTCAACATCTGCTCTAGCCTGAAATGTTGAATTGAACATTAATTAGAGCTGATTTGTCAACCACAAAGTAACAAACTATAAAATTTAAAACACCTTGTAGATTTGTTGGGGTTTTTTGCTCGAAAATGTCAAAAAAGCTATAAATCACCAAGCAAGTTTTAGTTTTAGCGGCCAGTAGCGGTGCAATTTTAAGACTACAACCAGACTCCAGATTGAGTGCAGTGTCTGGTCAAACGGCACTGACTGGAGAACCAACCTAGCATGTTTTTGATGGTGCGGGAAACCAGAATATTGGCACAATCCTTCCGAAAAAAAAGGCGGTGTGACAGCGGCTACAGACAGACAGGGAGACAGCTTCACACAACATGCTGGAAATTCAGGTAAACTCCCTCTGCAGCGTTAGAGCAATATTTTTATCAGCTTGAGTTTGAACTAATACATTCTCGTTGCATGATAATGGTACATTTACTGCATCTAGCAAACGTCATTAGCTCGCATTTGTGTATCTTTCACCAGAGGCTCAGCAATGTCAACACAGCTAAATGTATTGGATGACAATGAAATGGTTAGTGAGCTATAGACTCAATATTATAATGAGATTGTTGCCACATTTTATAACAGTTACACCGCAGTCTACTACGAAGCAAACAGCAGTAGTTCTGTGCTTAAGTACATTAGCTGATGGCTCCTGCCTTGCATCAAGGCTAGTATAAATAAAGCTCCACATTTGCTTTGTACCATTACATAATTTCTTGCAGGCTAAATGAACACTTTGACATAATACACAGGATAGTAATATGAATCGCGTTAGCAGGTGAAGCAATGTGGAAAGTTATAACGTTACATATTATATATTGCACTGGATAACATTAGCATCTGCTCAGCATTAGCCGGCAAGCCAACATGACTCTCTGTATGACTCCAGCCTTTCTGATGTTCACTGTTTTCACCAGAAATCCCCTGAATCTCGTTTGGCCTGACAGTTTTCATCACATAAACCTTTATTGTTGTTTTGTATCCTTACGTGGAGTCTGTTTTGTGCCTGGAACCGGTTGTTTTGTGGTGTTAGTGGACTGCATTTTGTTAGCTGCAGTGTTGCTGTAGTCTGAGGGAGGTTCGGGAGCACGCGTAGGGCTACGTCCCGACCCGGTGCCTTCACATTAAAAGCAGAATAGTGGCTGTTCCAAGCAACAGAGAAAACAAACGTGTGCTTAATTTCTAAGTGAGGCTCCAGCCTATTGACAATAATGCAGAGAAAATTTGATTTATTAATAAGTAATTTCATTGAAAAACTACATTTAGTCCCTTTAAAGTCCTTTGAGGACATATGAACAGTATGTAACTTGTGCGTCTACACAGAATAGCTCCATCTATCACAATAGTGTTGAAATGCAATTTAATATTGGCAATTTAAAGTAAGGGAGTAAAACAATTCCCTCCTTTACTCCAGTAAAAAATGAGACTAAACAATTCATCAGTGTAAATGGAGTGGATGATTCTGACTTGACAAACACTTTTAACAAATTTTTCTCTCACTTTGAAAGGTCTGAGTTCTCTGTAAATGTGTTCGTGCTTAGAGGGTCTCTTGTACCCCAGAATGTTTTTATGATATCTCAGGATTGTGTCATAGTCCTAAAATGGGCGAACATAAGGAGGGCTGCCGGTCCTGATGCTATCTGTGGGAGAACTGCGCGCTATTTTGCTGACCAGCTTAATGAGCTCTACACTAAAGTCTTCCGGATGTTCCAGATATCTACAATCTGGTAAACACCCACTATAATATCAATCCCAAAATTAAATAAATCCCAAGGAACTGACACTTACATCCCTTGTATAAAAAAATAAAATAAAATAAAAATATCAAGCAGGTTTTGGTGATTGGACATATGTCTAATACAAAGATCACCTTTTAGCGTCACCTTTTAATTATGACAGGGCAAACAAGGCAAGCACAGTAATCGTCACAAATACATACCTTTGGTACTATTTATGCGGGCCACCATGTGTTTGCTCTCCTCCTGGATCCACGCTTCCATCCCCTTGCGTCCCATCCCAAAGTCTCTAAGTGTTGTCAGGGTGAAACGTCGCAACTGCTTCCACCGCTCTCCATTACTGATCCCCAAACCTTCAAACATGTAGAAATGGTTGCTAAAGGAAACTTATAATGAATCTTGCCTCCACATATGAAAGAAACAAAGAGCTCACTGCTGCTAAGAATTATATCCTTTAAGGTGCCATAGAACAGCAAGTTGAAAAGTTTGAGTGATTAACAAATATATTAAATTAAATTGACAATTTTTCCAAAAATATGCAGATTGTAATATTACTATTGGGTGTGTTTAAAGGTGTGCATCAAAAGTTCCATATTACCATAGCCCTTTGTAGCTCTGAGCAGTAAAGGAATAGGTCCTCTGCCAGTGAAGTCATCTGCTTGGTCCACCAGTGCCTCCTTCACCGCATCATACCCCACCAGCACCACAGTGCGCTGAAGCCCCAGGTACACAGTTATCACAGGGCCATAGCTTTCACTTAGCTGGAGGTTAAACAGAGCAATAAACATGCATTTTATTGTTGTACAAGCATGCAAGGGGGAAAAAACTAAACCCACCCAGTGCACTGCAGAGAACAAATCAGATACCCTGGGACTCAAATATATCCAGCTGCAGCCCGCAGATCTGACCAAAGCTGAACCTCCAAATATGGTTTGTCCCAGAAGACACCGCGCACAAAACGTGATGACGTTAATCTCGGCTCACGTACAGTATAGATCCTAATGCAAAGCAGAAGATTGGCTATCCAGAGAGGGAAGGATATATCACAGGCCAAACTTATAAAAGAAGATTTCATAACCAAAGAAATAATCAAGATGTATGGAAAAGAAATTGTGTCAACAAGATAAGGATACTTTAACCAAATTACAATTAGATTTATACCAAATTTACGAAGATAAGGCAAGAGGAGCATTTGTAAGACCTAGAAGGAATTGGTTGGAAGAACAAGAAAAAAATATAAAATATTTTTTCAACTTGGAAAAAAGAAATGCAGGTCTTTCCTTTTTAAATAAACTTAATATTAATGGACAAGTGTAAGAAAATGCAAAGCAAATCTCAGATTTTGTTACAACGTTTTATAAAAAATGATATACCGAAGGGAGTGATAATAATGGTACGTCTTTCTTCACTTCCATAAGGTATAGTGCAAAATCGATATTTTATTTGTATTTAGGGAAGCAATTGAGGTTGGGAAGCTACCTCCATCCTTGTCTCAAGAGCTAATTTCCTTAATACCAGATAAAGACTTAAAATTGTTAAGTTATTAAAGCCTCCAGTTATTAAAAACTGGAGGCCTATAACCTTAATAAACAATGACGCCAAATTATTTGCTCTAATATTTGCTCAGAGATTGCATTTATGCCTCAATACAATCATTGATGATTGTCAATCTGGTTTTATGCGTGGAAGGCATATACTGTAAGTAATAATATTCATCTAATTTTAGATTTAGTTGATTACAACCAGTTTATTAATGAAAATAGTTATATTTTGTTTTTAGACTTTTATAAGGCCTTTGACACTGTGAAGCATAGTTTTTTTATCTAATACTTTAGACTTTTTTGCCTTTGGAAGTTATTTTAAACGTGCGATCCAGACGATTTACAAAGGTTGTAATAGTTCTGTCAAACTACCATTTGGCATCACTCCTAGATTTAATATTGGCAGAGGGATTAAACAAGGGGATCCAGCAACTCCCTTCTTATTTTTGCTAGTCATGCAAACAATGGCACTTAAAGATAATTTCAAAAGGTATACAAATAGCCAAAAAAGAATTAAAGCAGATGACACAACTATTTTTTTACAGAATGAAGAAGAAGTAGAAAAGGCTATTGAATGTGTTAATGTATTCTCTTCGGTATCAGGTCTAACTTGATGTGAGCTTTTTGCCTTAAAAAATAAGGGACATTACTTGGTTGACATATGTGATAACCCTATAAAAGATGTTGTATCATATCTGGGTATTAATATATGCAAAAATCAAGACAGAAGGGTGGATTTGAATTTCAATCCATTGACTGAAAAAGTAAAAAAAAAAAAAACTGATAGTTGGTTGTTGAGAGATCTGTCATTTAATGGACGTGTATTGTTATCTAAAACTGAAGGACTATCAAGGCTGGTCTATACAGCAATGGTCCCAGAAATCCCACCAATACTAGTCAAACAGATAGACACGTTGCTTTTCAATTTTGTCTGGAGAAATAAACCCCATTATTTAGGTTTTATGTAACACATATTGCGAAGGGGGTCTAAATTTATTAGATTTTTATACATCCAAGACTATATTCAAGGTCAACTGGATTAAACTTTACTACTTTATTCCAGAATTTATTTTTGAAAAACTAGGTGGTATTGAATTCCTCCTGCAATGCAATTTTGACATAAATAAGATTCCTGTTGCTCTATCCAATTATCATAAAAAAGCATTATTGTCCTGGTTAATTATTTACAGACATAACTTTTCGCCCCATAAATGTTTAATTTGGAATAATAAAGATCTAAAAATCAGATTTAAAAATAAAACTTTATTTTTTAATAGCTGGGTTAAAAATGATATAATGTTAGTGACACAATTGCTAATTGGAAATGGACAAGCAATATTGTGTCACCAACAAAATTAGAGAAGTCTCATTTAAAATTATACATTTGATTTACCCTGTGAACCAGGTGATCTCAAGGTTCATGAAAGATGTTGTGGAAAAGTGTGTGTTTTGCAGTGGCGAAGTTGAAACCATCTGTAATTTATTTTCAGATTGTGTTTGTACCAAATTATTTTGGTTAGACTTGGTTAGACTGGTTCAACTATTATTTTGCAGAAAAGAGACATTATATTTTTTTATGACAAGAATGATATTGATTGTAAAAGAAGATATTTTGGTGACAAGCGTAAATGGTCAAAGAAGAAACCACAATTAACTCTTTTTAAGATAAACATTACGTTTATTCTTAATTTGGTTTGAAGAATGAAAAAGCAGTCAGAACAGTTAAAATATGTAAATATTTAAATATTTTTCTATAACGCCTTTGTCACATGATACCCCTTTGTTCTTTAGTTAGAGTTATGTTATGTTATATTTTGTCATTTAATAGATTTATATACCATTTACATACCTTTTGTACTTTAGAGGCCAACAACAGAACTTTAAATACACTTCTGAGAAGTTTTGAGGCGAGAAATCAACTGTGTAGAGTTTGAATATCGGTAGTTTTACAAAAATTGACGGTGAATCGAAAAAGTGTTCAAATGTTTACGTCTATGGGTGTCAATATTACATAGCTGCCAAGTCAATTCAGTCCCTCAGAATTCCCATGATGCACAGCGTTGAAGAAAGTTTTGTTAAAATGTTCTAATAAGGCTCCTATTTGTTTGAAATACAGAAGTTTCTTTGTGATTTATGTTTTTTAAACGCGTCTGTTTAGAACAGGCCTATAGTGTTTTTGTTAGTAATTGTCATTCTTGTGGTAGTTGTGAAATGCTTGTTTCTTTTGATAAGAACGGCTACTGTACTTTTATATTTATAGGACTGCTTAACTTTACATATGCATCCAATTCACTTGTGCGGTTTTATTGTCTCTTGTAGGCAGGTCGATTGAGATAAATATATACATGCTGTATTATCACCATCACAGGCTGGAAATCAAAGTTGTGAAATTCTTACCTTTACCAGAGTTTTGAATGGAGCTCTTTTGTCCAGCTGTAGAAGGTTTCCTATGATAGGCAGGCCAGTGGGTCCTGGGGGTAACTGCTTACTGCTCTTCTGACTGAACAACCACACCAAAGCAATGAGTAACGTTAGCCCTGCTGAAATCAACGTGACAGAGAACTCCATAATGCTCCACGAAAGAAAATGTTTAACTATGTCTTCTGCAACTGACTGAAGGTCTAACCCTTTATAGAGAGCCACTGATTGTGTAAACAGCCTACATGCTAAAGCTGTTATTGCAGCTTGTGGGGCGGGGCTGTCTTATAGCCTGAGTTGTATGCTCATTTGCAGACTGCAGCTGAGCAGAAAAGAAGCGAAAAGAAGTTATCCAGAGTAACTCCTCTTCTATGATTACGGCCAGAACCGTAACAGTCTTTGTTGCTGGTTTTCAGTAGGGGACAAAAAATTACTCACGTAAAAATGTTTGGGGAATTTTGTTATAAATCTTAATACCATGGATATTGTATCATTCTACTTGAGCAATATCCATAGACTGTATATAAAAAGGCAATATCCAAGGGCGCAGGAAGGGAGCTGCGCAGGGTGCTGCAGCACCCCCTATTGACAGGGAGGAACACAGTTTGAAAATTACATGAGCAGACTACTTAAGGGGCACTATTTTTACTGTATGACAACATAAAATACAGCAGGTAAGTGCTGAATGCAGAGGATGCTCTTGATAATACAGCCTAATAATTTGATGTCAGCAGCTGTTTTCACTGTTTTGTCACGATTATAGGAGCTACAATGGTGTGATGTGCAGATCGGCTCTGACAATATCTTAATAATCATGTACGCACAAATCATCCTACGGCCCTACAGTGTTTTCTCAGATTTATCCCACCTAACCAGTCCTTTTAACCTGGTGATTTCTTTATTGTGTTGATGTACAAGTGTTTTCTTTAACAGTTTGCTTTAAAGATTTGAGAGGCTGCTGTCAGTCATTTTAAACGATTCCATGGGCGCAGTAATGTCACAGCAAATAACCAGGGACATTTATGTAGCAAAACGTAAAACTGTAGTTATAAACTTTACAGGCCAGACAGTGGAAACTCTGCAGATATAAAAGATTTCTACTTTTAGCTTCTGAAATAATTTAGACGCTACTTTACTCCAACAACAGTAAACAGTTTCTCTGCACGAACCTGGACTGTGTGAGACCTTTTGGATGTGAAGATGAACACAGAACATTAATCAACGTTAGATTCTGACTGATCCTGTCGGCGTGTCAATTTAAATGTGAATGTGACAGTACAGCTGTAGGAAGTGACGCTGTGAGGTGGGAGTGTCGGCAGGGATTGGTTGAGCGGACGCGGGAGGGTTTAAAGCTCCGTCCGCATGATCTGCCCCTCTCCTCGCCACACTGACATCAGCGTTTGCTGTCGGCAGTATTCACCTCTGCGCCGTTTGCTGTCTGTTCACGGGCTCCTCTTCCTGGCTGTCTGTTGCATATTTGATTGGTTTTTGTCAGCGTCCTCGCGGATTCCCCTTCGCCGGGGTCTTTCGTCAGTCATCCTCCGCTGTTCGGTGCAGGATCAGCCTCATTCTCCCCGCTGTCCTGCCTCTCAGCGTCAGTTGAATTGCCTCCTAATTGAGTTGCCTCTGATAGTTCGGCTGCTCCTTAATGTTTTAATTAATCTTTAACTGGACTTGCGTTTATGCCTTGTCCTTCTGACTGTGCTACTCTTTATTAATTTTCATTTATGCCTTGCTGTTTTTGCTTTTGTTAATAGTTTATTTTGTTTAATTAACGTTTGTTTGGTTTGGGTTAACAATCTAACTAAATTTGTCTTGGGTGAATTGGCTTGGTTTGAAGTTATTTGTTGCTTTGAATTTATTTGCCTGAATTAACTTTTGCTTTGAGTGAATTAATATTTGTTTGAATTGTGTTGGTTTGGGTGCTCCATGTCAGAAGTGTTTAGGTAAATGGCTGCTTTTTAAGAGATTTTAGATGCATGTTAATTTAAAAATAAAGAATATTTTTATATGTGAATGAAACACTGTCTCAGTCCCTCCCTCCCCAAGTAAAACGTACCTGTGCGCTTTCTACTGAATTTGGTGTTGTGTGGTCAACTTTAGATTATACTTTATTATTATTATTATTATTATTATTATTATTTATTTAACCAGGAAGTCCCATTGCGATTCAGAATCTCTTTTACAAGAGAGACCTGGCCAAGGTAGCAGGCAAATCACAACAAATGCATACATAATAAACACCAAGTTACATTTTCATGATAAAAGGAGAAATTCCTCAGGTGGCGTTGTCGTAGCTGACAGTAATATATATATTAGTGCCAGTGTGAAAGAGATTATCGGATGATTATTGAAAGTGCATCCTAATAATCCTTGACCCATTCCCACTCGGTGCCGCCCCATGAAGTTATGCTGCTGTGCCCCGTGCGTAAATGCGCACAGGTCTCTTTTAAGGGGAAGACGCTTCACCCTATTTCACCCACCCGGAAAGTCACAAAACGTTTTGCCCAAAGCTCTGCCCAGAAACAGCGGTGCTCTCAGTTATTGCACGCACAAGGTTTTCATGTGTTCATTGTGTTTCCCCAAGTGTTGACACTGAGCGTGGAACAGGTTTTCAAGCTGAAATGATGGTGGAGACGGTTTAGTCAGCTGCGCCCGCATGCCGTTCATTTAAGTTGATCGTGTTATCAATGGTTTTTATTCGAATTATTTTATTTATACATACATATAATTACAGAGGTACTGACCTTGGTGACTTCATACGACCATAACCTCTTGTGTTGAAGGAAAGTTTGTAAGTGCGTGCCCAAACACAGTCGTGTGCCCTGGACTGGCAGGCATGGGTGAATGAATCGCCTCCCCATTAAGAAAGACGCCGTGCGCATTTACGCAGTCGCATAACATCATTGATTATTTGAATCTCTGTTGAATTGTAAAAAAAAATCCCTTAACTTCGGGTTAAAATGAGTTGTAACGTGCGTTACTGAGATTGCAAAGGGTAAAATATTACCGTTTTTTTTTAGTAATGCGTTATATAACTGTATTACAGCAAAAAGTAATAGATTACTGTAAATGCGTAACTTTTGCATGCGCGCATTTCTACTCTGCAGCACCCCTAAGCGAAAATGTCTTCCCGCACGCCTGGCAATATCAAAATTAAAATATTAATGGTCATTCATCATTTAAGACATAGCCTAATGCTAAAACATGAAATCTTTGTTTGTGTTAGGTAGGGGGCCAGTATAGACAGCTCATATCTGAGAGTTGAGCTGGTGGTTTCTTGAAGAGATTCAACACTGAAGTGTCCAAATTAGCAAAATGTCACAGACGGATTGTACTTTTCTTTTTCTTAGAATATGAAATACCTATTTCACTCCAAAAATGAGACAGGCCAGTAACAGTCACACCTTTGCTAGAGAAAAGTTTAGTTTCAGATGAGAACAAGGCCAGTGGCTCCTGCAAACAGCCATCTAAACAGCCACAGCAGAGCATCTATCAGTGGTGCTACTGAAGCAGAAAAATCCATTGCACTTTGTCTTTTTGTTGTTTCTTCATTACTCAGGCGATCTCTCTTAAACCTTTGTTGTTGTTTTAATTTTTTAATAGACGCAGTCAGAATGAAACTAGGAACTGGCACAAAATGCTGCACAACACAAAGTCATTCTTTGTGTAGCTTCAGTTATAACAATCTTAGAGTGGTTGATTTGAAAACAAGTTGCATTATTAAAATAAATTCATATACAGCAAATAAAAGATTAAGCAAATAAATAGATCGAGATTTGGAATTGGTGTTTTACAGAAGCACAATGGTCAAGGACTTTGTCTTTCAAGGAGGGTTTTATGTTGTATGACTATTTTATAAGTAGGACATTTCCTTGTTTATTAGCTCTTCTTCCAATCAAACAAAATAATTAAAGAATATTTAATATAAAGAGAATTACTCCAAACAGAACAATTGTTCTAAAAGGAGAATTCACACATATATTTGATTGTAAAAATATGGAAATAATTAACGCCCTGTGGGGTCATGTGTATTCGTTGCCCATCTCTCTCTCCCTCGCAGGTTAAGAGCTGAGACTGATCAAGTAACTCTGGGCACCTGGGCTAATTGCCTTGTAGGGTATTTGTAATGCCTTATTATCATTTGTAGGGATGGTGCTGCTGGGCTAAGGACACAAACCTCCCTGCTAACTTACTACCCTCTGTTTCCCTCCACAGGTTCCACCTTTGCCTTGGTTTCTATACATGCTGTTTTAGTTGTAGTTATTGTTTCTTGCACATTACAACACACACACATCCATCATCTTGCCCTGACATAACTGAAACTACTGATGTTCATACACCATACTTTATCACATTTACTTTGAAACAGTCTTAATTTGGCTTATTTTGCGTTAAATAATATTTTCTTAAATGTTTACTGTGGTGTGTCTCCCTTTTTGTTGTGGCCTTCTGAGCCAGGTAATAACAATGACATATTTAGGTTGAGTACACGTTGTAAAATTTGGATAAGGACCCAAACAAGTACTGACTATATAATACAACAGAGATGGGGACTCTCTGTTGACTTAAGTCCCACACACAGTGACTTCAGACTCAACTTGAGACTCGCGTCCTCATAAGACTTGACTCGGACTCGAGGTGCGGGCCTCGTGAACAGTGTTTATTTTTAGGAAAGGTCTGACCTTACTGTTTCCTCCCTACGTTACCTATACGTAATACGTAGTATCTGATGCGCACAGCCACACGTGAGAGAGGAAAACAAACACCGGCAGCTGCTGTGCCATTCATCACAAACTTTGGCTTTAAAATTTCATACAACAAGGCCCAAACAAAGAAGCTCCTAACACAAAATAGGTGAGGTTAGTTAACATGTTTAGCTCAGCATTAGCCATTTAACGTTAGCTTGCTTCTTGCTTTAGCTATGTCCAACTGTCGCTCATTATGAAAAGATAAATGAGCGTTTGTTTAGTTGCCAAACTTGTGGTAGTCTGTTAACGTAATCATTTACGTCCCGCTGGCTGCCATCACGTTATTAACATTGGCTGCAAACAGGTCACAGGTTTATTGTTGATCATCCAACTAGTTTTATTTAGTTAACATAACTTTACACTGGGTTTGAGAGTCTGGGGGATGTGTTGATTTACAGTAGTTTCTGTCATTAGTTTTAGACGCATTAGGACACGTGGTTGTGCTCTGTAAGTGAAAAACGGGTTACAGACAAGCCCCCATTAATGCACGGGCTTACTGGGGCTGAAGCCCCAGGGCCTATAAAGACAAGGGGCCTATCATAAGCCAATAAAAAAATCACAGTTTTGTAGTTTGTCGAATTTTCTGTCAATCACTTGATATTCATGTTTTTGGGTGCTGATTGATCCACTTTACAGGTGACCGACATGGGAAGCATGAAATGACAGCCTATCAGACTGTATAGAAACAGTTGTAGCATGTGTCGTCTTCTCTAGTAGTCTATTCAAATATATCCTAGTCACAGAAGCTAGCGGCTAGCTAAATCAAAATGTCGGGAAAGAAAAAGTTTGAGAGTGATGCTCATAAGCAAAAAATATTGCGAGAGAAGAAAACAGTGAGAAGGAATTGTTAAAATAGATTCCAAATTCCAAATTATCAGCAAGCAGAAAGAAAAATATATTGAATACTGGAAAGAAACAACCAAAACACAAAGTAAATTACAATGTTATCTGACCTAAAAAGAGAATTCACACTGGCAAATTACCTGACCACAATAAAATGTCCCAAACTAAGAAAAATGTTGACAACATACGGACTGAGTGAACACAGCTTGGCCATAGAAAAGGGTAACCACAGACAGAGGACAGGTAGAGACAGAGCTGCACTTTCTAACCTCATGCCCCAAATATACCCCGAATTCGAATTCATATCAAACACACAGAAACTCCCCTATTTACTGGGAGAAATGCCCAAATGTGAAATAATTGCTGCAAAATATGTCTCCTCATGCCATGAGGCATACTGATAAATAATTGTACAGATTTTCAAATTATTATTATTTTGATCGTTTGATATTTTAGTAATTGTTTTGTTTGTACATTTGATACTGATTTCTTTTTTTATTTATTATTATTATTTTTTAATCAATTAATTCTTTTTAAAAAAAATTGTCTATTAATATACACACAGACACACACACACGCACGTTACTGTTTCATTTATATATTTTTATTTTTTAACACACACACGCTTACTGTTTTATTTATTTATTTTATTTTTAATATATTTTTATTTTTTTAACATACACACACACACACGCTTACCGTTTTATTTATTTATTTTATTTTTAATATATTTTTATTTTTTTAACATACACACACACACGCTTACCGTTTTATTTATTTATTTTATTTTTAATATATTTTTATTTTTTTAACACACACACACTTACTGTTTCATTTATTTATTTTATTTTAATTTTTAACACAAACACACATACGCTTTGATTACTTTACGCTTTAATTACTTGTTTAATGAAATGTATGGGGTTGATTGTTCTTATGTAGCATGTATGATGCTTTGGCAATATTGTTATTGCACATTCATGCCAATAAAGCTAATTTGAATTGAAAATTGAATTGACTCTACTCCAGATATCACACATGTGGACCAGCTGACGTTCATCCTGCGGTATGTATCTCCAGAAGGCTGTAGGCGTTTTGTTAAATTCCTCCCCATTACAAGCCACACCGGAGAAGCGCTGTTCAATTCAGTTATTAGTGTTTTAGCAGAGTTGGGAATTGACATTAATAACTGTAGAGGACAGTGTTATGACAATGCCAACAACATATCGGGTACCTACAAAGGCTTGCAGGCCCGCATCAGACAGATCAAGAGTGAGGAAACGGAACATGGAATTTGAATAAAAGATTCAGTATTTCTTGTTTATTAATAAAATACATTCATACACAATTCTTTTTAGCTTTTATCATGTGATTCATGCATTTTTGTTCCAAAGAAAAAACCCTACACAAAGTCCACACCATGAAGTGAGTAAACAAAACATATAATAAAAATTAAACAACCACATTTACAGTAATAAAACACTGTTAGTCATATCTCAATATATGACAACATGCAGTTGATGAAATAACCTTTTACAACACATAATTACAATATCACACAATAGCTTGTTTCAGTTTGTAGTGTGCTATTCCAAAACACCATAAGCCAAACCATATGACACGTGGTTTATATAAATTATAAACAAATTAAACAATCAGGAATTTAATCTTTAATTTTAGATTATTATTTGTCTATCAGTGTAGAAGATAAACATTGTGTATACTGTTTATTCTGAGGACTCCAAATACCATTGTGACATATTAAGTGAGACAGCCTTTTTAATCCTTGGTTGACATAATTTTTTATTTGATAAATCAATTCAACCACAGAAATTGCATTTTGGATGTGAATATTTGACTCAATAGACTGTAGGTGTAACATACTGTAGCTGTAATAAAAGCACTGAATAAGCTGACACATGTATAAACATGATTTCACAGTGTTTTGTTAAGGTTCTTTAATGGAAATACTGGTAACACTATTTAAATGATGAGCAGGTGTATATAAACGTAGATAAGATGGGGAGTCCAGGAAATTACAAAAACAGTTCAAACAAAAATCTTGTTGGTTTTTCCTTTGGCACCTCTTTCAAATCAATCAATATCTGTGTGTACTGTACTGGTGTGAGCATTTATGTGACAAAAATATTTTAGAAAGCCAGTTTCACCACTAAAAGTGTTATTTTTTAACAGGCCTGCAGCACCATCAATGGCCTCTCAGTTTTTACATTGTGAGGTTATTTGCCAACAGATGCCCCTGTGGGCTCTGAGAAGACATGGCCGGAAGTGATGTCATGGCAAACCTCAGAATTACATGCCCAGGAGAAAGAAATCAATTTGCATGATCCACTCACAAAATGAGGTACTTTAGAATCAAATGATCCATTTTGGGATTTTGGGAGGTTCAAGGCTAGAAGAAAATATGAAAACACATGAATGTGCTGTAAAATATCATTAACCCCGGGGTGTTGCAATGATCTTGTACTTGCGAGGCACATTGGCGAAGCTGCTGTACTCGGGGCTGAGATCTACACTGTCAGGTCCTCCAGGGCAAGAAAAGGTGAAATGCTGCAGAAGTGACACCATGAAGAGGAAAATCTCCATGCGAGCGAGGGACTCTCCGACACAAGATCTCTTTCCTGAAAGATTACCACAAGAAAAACTATGAGAATGAGAATATATATATATTCTTGTGATAAATGAAAAATATTTGCAGGGACTGGGTTTATAATTTGCCTCTTAAACACATTATAGCTCAGAAAAGAGCACGACACTATAATCTGCAAGTAGGTTCAATGTTCAGCAACATTTTCTGAGTGAGTGAAACATAGTGAGAAAGAAATGTATTAACTAAAAACTAATAATTTACCTGCAGAGAATGGCAGGAATGCAGGATTTTTCTTAAAGTTGCCATTCTGGTCCAGGAAGTGCTGGGGATTGAAGGACCAAGGGGTCGCCCAGTGTTTTTCCGTTTTCAGCAAAGAGTGCAACAAGGGAAGAATTACTGTATCCTGTTAAGACAAAAAATATGTATCACTTGGGACATTTTGTGTAATCTGGAAATATTTTGCATCAAAACTATGTGATGAAACCAGAATACCTTGGGAATTGTGTAACCCCGAAAAGAGATGTCATGGAGTGCATAGTGAGGGACGCTCATGGGGACAATATCCATTAAACGCTGAATTTCATGGAGGACTGCATCTGTAAAGGGGAGGGACTTCCTGTCCTCCATATAAGGACAACGCCCCTGTCCAATCACAGTGTCAATCTCCTTTTGCATGGTCTCTTCAGAATGAGAAAAACATTTAAAGTGAGATATGCGATTCAGGAGAAATCCAATTCCATATATAACAACACAGCAAGTAATGTAACTAACATTAGCAAACTGTCGCTAGCTGCTGCGAGGCTAACATGCAAAGAGGACGAGACTGTACCAGAGCCCGCACCCAAGCTTCCTAGAGCGATACTCAAGTATCTCCTGCTACTATAGCTAACATCACAACAACAGCATCTGCAAACTAGAAAGTAAACTGAATGTCCATGGGTCATTTAACGTTACCTGACACTAGCTGACCTGACAAGGCTGGAATGACTGGAATAGTTTGTGTGGCGTAGTCCAAGCCACTTGCTTTCTCATTTACAGAACAATTAATTAGTATATCAACAAAAAAATCTAACTTGATCTTTTGATTAATACTTAACTTGTTTAAATAGCAAAAATGCCAAACATTTGCTGGTTCAAGCTTTTTTTAGACATGCCTGACATAGATGTGAAGACTGAATGTATCACTAGAGGAAGTTCAAAATGCTCAGTTTCATCATCATTAGATGCAACCAATGACAAGGTGCAAGGTCAAGAGCTATAGTGCCCTGAGTCTATCAAAACATTTATCTGTGAACCTACAATAAGGATGTAATATAGAGATGTGGTCAAAAAGAAAGTTGGTTAAAAAATCGACGTTGGGCGCTCCTCGATGTGCGCAGCTGCTGCTGTTAACGGAATCGCGGTTGGAAAAGTCCAGAAGACAAGCTTTTTTTTTCTGCGACTTTATAGGCCACAACGTAGCCTGCTATGTGAGAGAAAGTCACTGGACTAGATATAGGCTACAGAGAAAGAGAGACGGAAAGAAGCGGGGTACGCTGATTTGTTTGCAAAAGAGGTACGTTAGGTCTGTTAGTGTGAAGAGAACTGATGAAAGCAGATTCAATCAGTGAGTGAGTGATACTTAAGACGGAGAATGTTGTATAATTAAAATGGTGAAATAAGAGACAAGCTAAGATACTACCCCCCAGCCCACTTTGTAGAAAATACCTATATATATTTTATACTGGAATCCTGTCTAACAGTACCGGGATATGACTTTTTGGTCCATATCGCACAGCCCTACTGTGACCTACCCTGTATTTTGGGGTATTTTATCAGTACACTTAGTGCATATCTGATAGTTGAGCTGGTGGTTTCAGTTCCTGCCAGGAACAGATTCATCACTGTTGACACCAAATTGTCATAGTGGAACTCAGTTGTGGGAATATGCTTTTCCTAGAAGAAAAAAACAAGAGCATTTTTACTGATCTGACAATATGCAATATGAAAATTCAACATGTTCAAATGCAGTTCATCTATGAACCTAGTGGCCTATACTGCCAAGGGTCTTTGACACTGCTCAGTATTTGCAGAACTAGCTCATATTATTGGGAGTATGTGCATTTGCATGTGATGAATAATGAGTAAATGCCCAGAGTAAATGAAACAAACCTAACTTTTAGCTTACAGAGGCTTATTCTAGTTAATGAGTTCTAACATGCCTGACTGAGTCTAGTGAGAAAGCAGTCGATGTAATCTCTGGGTGAGCTGGGGTTCAGCGTGTCCTGGTGTTCCTGGATCCTTCTCATCATAAAGTCTCTCAGGTCTTCAACTTCGGCAAATATTGTGTGCTGTTGACCTGGTAGCCACTCCATCAACCGAGGGAAGATATTATACAGCTGTGATGGGGAGAGGAAAGGATGTATTAACTACACCTATGTGTCCCACAGCCAGTAGTAACTACGTCAAAAGTACCTGCCAACATTTGGTGTTTGAGTATTTGAGAGATAACATAAAAATGCAGACCTTCACTGTAAATATATCATGGCAAAGAATAGTTTCTGAACATCTGTGTGAAAGATGTGTAAGGACAGCTTGTCTAGTACCGTCTATAAGAGCAGACTGAATGTTGTTGAACTTCAGCAAATTGCATGTCTAGGCATGTTCAGTCTTTAATGACTCCAGAAACCCGAACCTTTGTGTTGTATATTATATTAGTATTGTGTCTCTATGCCACACCATGAGTTGTCAAACCGGTGACGTTTGCGTGTCCATTATGTAACTGCACCGTTAATTCCCAACGGTCAACATATGTGCTGTCAAAGTAGTGAAGATTTTATTTCCTTGAGCTTCATACTATTGCATGTGTTCTTCAGTTGCAGCAAGTTGCCCTTTCTCATCCACAGCAGGTAAGTGACCAAGCACAAAGATCATGATGGTAAAATAATGAGGGGAAAGGCCATCCTTTATCCTGCATAGAGTTCTTCACCTGCAGTAATTATTTCTGACTATCATATATTAAATCACAAATGTTATAGAAGTTCCTTTACTTAGAAAATTAACTAATTGTTGAGGTTCCCTCAATCAAAACCTTAAAATGGGGAGGTTTTAAATATGTCCAATCAATTGTGTAACCTTGGTAAATAGTAATTATGACATCATTTATTGCTCGGGTCCTTGCAGAGTGGCTATGGTCTTCCTAACCAGTAACCCCACCATCCACTTCTCTGTATCTTCTCCTTTTACCTGACCCCAGGGACTGCTGCCAAATTTCAGGATTTCTGAAATTGTCTGCAGAATACGGAGGAAGTTGTCATCGTCATAGTTGAAGCGTTGACCAAACACTAAGCAGCAGATCACATTGGACACGGTGCAGCTCATGTAGTAGGTGGGATCAAAAGGTGTGGCTGGAGAAAAAGGTGAAAGTACTCAGTAAATTTTCAGTTTGACTGTTAAAAATGCCAGCACCACTTGGACTATTCTTTCTTTATATGAATGTTTGTTGTGGTCATCATTACCATTTAATACAAAATCAAAAGCACTCAATCCTTTTTGCTTAATATAGAGGTTGATTTCTCATGAGTGGTTGCTTGCTCTTTGCTCCCTTTTTCAGAAACCACAAACAAATATAAATATAATTATTTATAATTTATTTACATTTACAGTTTAAAGTCCTTTGAGAACATATGAACAGTATGCAACTTGCGCATCTACACAAAACAGCTCCATCTATCACAGTAGTGTAGAAATGCAATATAACATTGGTAATCTTAAAGCAGCCGCAAGGGATTAAAACAATTCCGTCCATTAATCAATGTGCAACTAAACAATTCATCAGTGTAAATGGAGTGATGATTCTGATTTGACAAACACTTTTAACAAATTTTTCTCTCACTTTGAAAGGTCTGAGTTCTCTGTAAATATTTTCATGCATAGGGGTCTCTTGTACGTCAAAATGAATTTATGATATCTCAGGATTGTGTCATAGCCCTATTTAAAAAGGGTGAACATAATGAAGGCTGCTGGTCCTGATGCTATCTGTGGGCACTGTGCGCTATTGTGCTGACCTGCTTAGGGGGGTCTTCACTAAGGCTTCCGGATGTGTGCCGAAATTGGCCAGATATCTACAATCTGGAAAACATTCACTATAATATCAATTCCAAAATTTAAAAAATCCCAGGGAACTAAATGAGTTTAGACCTGCGCATACATCCCTTGTCATGAAAAATCTAGCAGGTTCTGGTGAGTGGACATATATGTGTAATGTATGTGATTTTCATCAATCATTCATTGAAAGTAGGGCTGTATAATATAGAAAATAGTTAATTTGTTTTGTTTTAATTACTGCTGCTTGTTGTCTCCTTGCATTGACTTATGTATGTTGATCTGTTGCTTTTGACATGTAACTACCTCGCCTGTAAGTGTTTGAGTTGAGTGTTACCTTTTAGTCATAACAGGGTAAACATACAAGCCAAGCACAATAATTGTCACAAATACATACCTTTGGTACTATTTATGCGGTCCACCATGTGTTTGCTCTCCTCCTGGATCCAATCTTCCATCCCCTTGCGTCCCATCCCAAAGTCTCTAAGTGTTGTCAGAGTGAAACGTCGCAACTGCTTCCAGCGCTCTCCATTACTAATCACCAAACCTTCAAAATGTAGAAATGGTGGTTAAAGGAAACTCATAATGAATCTTGCCTCCACATATGAAAGAAACAAAGAGCTCACTGCTGCTAAGAATTATATCTTTTAAGGTGCCATAGAACAGCAAGTTGAAAAGTTTGAGTGATTAAAAAAATAATTAAATAAAAAAAAAATGTAATGCAGATTGTAATATTACGGTTGGGTGTGTTTAAAGGTGCAACAGAACAGATTTAAAACTTTTGGCCAGAAAAGTTTTAAATCTGTTCTGTTGTTCCATATTACCATAGCCCTTTGTAGCTCTGAGCAGTAAAGGAAGAGGTCCTCTGCCAGTGAAGTCATCTGCTTGGTCCACCAGTGCCTCCTTCACTGCATCATACCCCACCAGCACCACAGTGCGCTGAAGCCCCAGGTACACAGTTATCACAGGGCCATATCTTTCACTTAGCTGGAGGTTAAACAGAGCAATAAATATGCATTTTATTGTTGTACAAGCATGCAAGAGGGAAAACACACCCAGTGCACTGCAGAGAACAAAACAGAGATTCCTTGGGACTAGGAACAAAAACATAATCATACACAGATCACAAACACAAAACTCTGTAACTGAGACGTGGTATGAAAAGCATATGAAATACTTTGCTTTAAGACTTTAAGAACTCTATTTCTTTTGACAAGTAAGATTGGCAAGACCAGCTATTCAATTTAACCATACAAAAAGAATTTTACTTGCTTCACTTGGACATTGTGCCAAGAACTAGGCTAATGTTACGCAACACTCAAAGCTAAAACAGAAAACAGAGCTAAACATTACTATGTTGGTTAAAGACAAGTAGATTAGATTCTTTATTTTCCTTTTCAGGAAATTTGTTTCCACCATCTATACTTACAATACCTCACATATAAACAACATGAACATACCTAAGTAGATGGCAATAAATAGATAAATACTGTATTATCACTGACTGGAAATCAAAGTTGTCAATCTCAGATTCTTACCTTTACCAGAGTTTTGAATGGAGCTCTTTTGTCCAGCTGTAGAAGGTTTCCTATGATAGGCAGGCCAGTGGGTCCTGGGGGTAACTGCTTACTGCTCTTCTGACTGAACAACCACACCAAAGCAATGAGTAACGTTAGCCCTGCTGAAATCAACGTGACAGAGAACTCCATAATGCTCCACGAAAGAAAATGTTTAACTATGTCTTCTGCAACTGACTGAAGGTCTAACCCTTTATAGAGAGCCACTGATTGTGTAAACAGCCTACATGCTAAAGCTGGTTATTGCAGCTTGTGGGGCGGGCTGTCTTTTAGCCTGAGTTGTATGCTCATTTGCAGACTGCAGCTGAGCAGAAAAGCAGGAAAAAGAAGTTATTCGGAGTAAATCCTGTTCTGTGAGTCTTTGTTGCTGGTTTTCAAAGGAGGACAAAAAATGACCCACGCATAAAAATGTTTGGGGCATTTTATTAGAAATCTTAATGCCACGGATATTGTATCATTCTACTTGAGCATTATCACAATTAAAATAGTAAAATATTAATAACTTAACTTAATGCTTGCATTTCATGACAAAACATGAAATCTTTGTTTCTATCAGGGGACACAGCCTGTATGTCAGGGTATTTGACCAGTAGAGTTGAGCTGTTGGTTTCTTGAATAGATTCAACACTGAAGCTTCCAAATTAGCGAAATGGCGAAGACGGATTGTCCTTGTCTTAAAATTAGAAAATGAGACACACCTATAACAGTCACACCTTTGCTAGAGACAAGTTTAGTTTCAGATGAGAAGAAGGCCAGTAGGTCCTGCAAACTGCCATCTAAACAGCCATAGCAGAGCAGAGATCAGCCGTGCTAAGTATAATAATACAAAAAAATCCATTACACTTTGTCTTTTTATTGTCTCCTCAATGTTCAGGCGATCTCTCTTAAACCTTTGTTATTGTAGTTTTTCATAGAAACAGTCAGAATGAAACCAGGAATTGGCACATAATGCTGCACAACACAAAGTCATTCTTTGTGTAGCTTCAGTTATAACAATCTGCTTAAAGTGCTTGATTTAAAAACAATTACCATTATTAAAATAAATACATATATAGCAAATAAATGATTAAGCAAATAAATAGATTAAATAAATAATAATGGTCAAGGACTTTCTCTTTCAAGGAGGGTTTTATGTTTTATGTTTATGTTTATGTTTGGTGGGGATATTTCCTTGTTTAATAGCACTTTTTCCAATCAAATTAGAATTAAAGAATATGTAATATAAAGAGAATTACTCCAAACAGGACAATTGTTCCACATGATTTATTGCCATTTGCACAAAAAAGACTTTTATAGTAGTAATGTAATTATTAATTTTTAACCAAGAATTGATTAAATTACATCTTACGTCTGATGGGCCTTTCTGCTACAGTATATCAGCCATGTAACAGGAAACTTCAACTGTACAAATACATCACAATAAAGCAGTGTATGTTGTATAGTCATCCTGGTGAGTTCTTCAAGTGATAATAGACTGTCTGACTAGAGCTCTTCTTCTCAACGCTGTGTGGCGATGATCTGGTATCTGCGAGGCAAATTGGCAAAACTGCTGTACTCTGGAATGAGGTTTATACTGTCAGGGCCTTCAGTGCAGGAAAAGGTGAAATGCTGCAGCAGTGACACCAGAAATATAAAAAGTTCCATACGAGCCAGAGACTCGCCAGCACAGGCTCTCTTCCCTGTGAAGAGACATAATTACAAATAAAGCAATGATAAAAATGATTGATTGTTATTGTAAAGGGGCAGTGAATGAGATATAATGACCCACTTGTCATGGACACAGCACACTCATAAACAAAACTATTAAGGAAAACACAGGTTCATATGAGGTTGTTGACACCAGCATGTTAATATCCACATGAACTGATGATTTATGGACTGTGTTCTACCTGCAGAAAATGGCAGGAAAGCAGGATTTTTCTTAAAGTTGCCATTCTGGTCCAAGAAGTGTTCGGGGTTGAAGGACCAGGGAGTTGCCCATTGCTTTTCCTCTTTCAGTACAGAGTGTAACAAGGGAACAATCACAGTGCCCTATGGAAACAAGATATCATGTTAGTGTAATAATTAGGGCTGGGCACGTTAACACGTTATTATCGCATGAACGCATTAATTAATTAACTCCAACAATTTTTTTATGGCATGTTAAGCATTTTTTTTAATTATTATTTTGAAAGTCCATTGCTCACTGGCTCTGAATACACATAGGCCTACAGTCAAACCATACGTCACAGAAGAGGAGGGATGTTGATCAGCCTGCAAATAACCCTCCCAAACAAGCAGCTGAGAGAGGCTTCTGCAGGTTCTCTCAGGTGAATAGACAGGGAGACAGCGCTCCGCTAGTGAACTGCAGGCGCTCTATGGATAGTAACCATGGCAACGGCTTCTGTGCGCAACACAGCCGTAGCCTTTTTAACTTAAATTAAAATTATACATAGGCTAACTTTACCTGATAGACCTAAATTTAGTTTTGCAGGGATGCTCTGCCATGTGAATTCCCTCCTGTTGATGTCCTGATAACTATTCAGATTCTGGAAACTCACAAACAGTGAGGATCAGTCTCTCTTCCAATGATTTGTGCTGCTTGTCGTGTACAAAAAGTTCAAGACAATTCAACTTTGACAGCAGGCGGGCGTGTGCGTGAGGCGAGCACAACCGCGTCAGTTTCATAGGAACGCACACAGTACACCTGGTGCTCGACTACTTCACCTCACTGTAACAGGGAAACTTGCTGCTGAACATAGACTGTTTCTGCTGCTCCCTGATAAAATAAAAATGTTTCTGCTGATAGCCTACCTGCTCAGAAAAAATCCCAAGAAAACTGGATTCTGATGGTAACTTGTTTTAACAAGCTAGATAAAAGGTAATTCCCTGGCAGTGGCAAATAGCTTTGGTTTAATATTTGATTTGATTACATTAATGTTTAAGTTGAGATTTACAAGACATATTTTATTGCAACTGTGTAAAGGGCATACTGCTGGTAAAAACTACCTTATTTTTTTAAAGTGTTTGCAAACCACATGTTATTGCACTTTTGTGTATACAGCAGTACATTTAAATCAAAAGTGTGCAATATACTACTTTAGAATTCATTATTCAATTTTGTGCGTAACAATGCGATTAATCGCAAGAAAATCATGCGATTAATCGCAATTAAAAATTTTAATCGTTGCCCAGCACTAGTAATAATGCATTTTTTTCTCTAATAGATACGATATTTTGGAATCAAGAATACCTTGGGGATTGTATAACCCCTGAAAGAGATGTCCTGGAGTGCATAGTGAGGGAGGCTAAAGGGGACAATGTCCAGAAAACGCTGAACTTCATGGATGACTGCATTTGTGAAGGGGAGGGACTTCCTGTCCTCCATGCTGGGACAACGGTCTTGTCCAATCACAGTGTCAATCTCCTGCTGCATTTTCTCTATACAGGCCAAAGCAAAAGGTATTTCCTCTCTGTTATTTTGAATTTTATTAGGCAGGAACAGGATTATTCACAGAATAAGATGACTGTGTCTTCATTAGGGGACCTACCTTGTATGTTGGGATGTTTAATCAGTACACTGAGGGCATATCTGATGGTGGAGCTGGTGGTTTCTGTTCCTCCCAGGAACAGATTCATCACCGTAGACACCAAGTTGTCATAGAGGAACTCAGTTGTGGAAATGTCCTTTTCCTGAGAGGACAAAGTGGTAATAGTGTCATAAGATGCACAGCAGGTGACAGACACCCACTTGGGTTTTTTCCCATAAATTGGAGCATTTGAATAATCAAACAGTATTATTCTAGACATTACATCTGTTCAATATCAGACTTTCATTCTCTGAAACTCAGAGGATGGAAGTTATATTGCTCAGTGTGGTCTCGGGTTCCCTTAGCAAAACAAATGATGCTGAAGTTCTTTCCAACCTGATTGATTCGGATGAGAAAGCAGTCAATATAGTCTCTCAGGGAGCTAGGGTCCAGTGTCTCCTTGTGCTCTTGGATCTTCATCTTGATAAACTGTCTCACCTCTTTAATCTGGGCAAAAACAGTGTGCTGGTGGCCAGGCAGACGCTCCATGAGCCAGGGAAAGATGTTGTACATCTGTGGGAAGGAAGCACACAGCACACTGCAGCTTTGTTTCTCGAGGAATAATAATGTAGAAATGTGTTCAGTATGTTGGGGCAATCATTCCAAAATTATATATATAAATTTGGGGAAAGTCCATCCATCCATTGCCAACCGCTTATCTTGCGTACAGGGTCGCGGGGAATTTGGGGAAAGTGTTACAGAACATTCTCTCTTAATATGTCTTGAAGATGATTTAAGGACTCCATTTGAAAACCAGAATAAAGCTAAAGATGGTGGACCATCAGGACTTTTTGGCTCCCAGCGGAGGAGGGAGACTTTTTGGCTCCTACCTCCACTTACCATACCCTGGGGGCTGCTATTGAACCTCAGCATCTCAGCTATGATATTGAGGAGGCGTAGGAATTGCTTGTCTTCATAACTGAAGCGTTGGCCAAACACCAGGCAGCAGATCACATTGGACACTGTTCGGCTCAGCAATAGTGTGAGGTCAAATGACGTGGCTAAAGGAGAAGGAAAAAAAATTTGGACTAACCTATTATATTAATCAGGAGAAAAAGATGTCACAAAATGTGCTACTAAAAACACACCTTTGTATGTATTTATGCTGGCTCTCAAGTGTTGGCTCTCCTCTTGAATCCACTCCTCCATCCCCTTGCGTCCCATCCCAAAGTCTCTTAGGGTTGTTAATGTGAAACGTCTCAGTTGGCGCCAGCGTTCCCCATTACTGATCCCCAAGCCTGTCAAAAGTAAATATGTGCTTGTTGACCAACTGGAGCGATGCAAGAAGCCAGGTAGATAAAGAGACATGCAAGCATGTCACCATTAAAAACATCACTGATCCCTTGTCAGAGATGACAGATTTGAAGTGTCTTGTGTTACCAAAGCCCTTGGTAGCTTTGATCAGAAATGGCAGCGGCCCTCTGCCTGTAAAGTCATCTGCCTGGTCTACCAGAGCCTCCTTCACTGCGTCATATCCTACCAGAACAACTGTCCGATGCCAGCCCAGGTACAATGTTATCACAGGACCATAGGTTTCACTGAACTAGAAAAATACATGATTTGTTAAGGAAATAAACTGAATTCTGATGCAAATGTAGTTATTTTTCTACAAAAGTCAACGTGCAATCAAAGTCCAAATTCAGAATAATGAAGAGACTGCTCTCAGTTATTTTCAGATTAAATTGTTATAGAACCTTAAATCAATGCAAAATCAATTTGTACACAAACTCACCTTAAGAAAGCTTTTAAAAGGTTCATTTTTGTGCAGTTGTAGCAGGTTGCCTATGAGAGGAAGTGCAATAGGTCCTGGAGGCAAACAATACTTCTGACGGTTTTTTACACTAAACAACCAAAGCAGAATTAAGATCAGCCCTGCCAAGATCACTGTTGCAGAAAAGTCCATGATGCTCTTTACACTTTGTCTTCTTGACTTTTCTCGCTTGCCGCTTATCTGAATATTTCTGTTTACATAACAGTTGCAGGAGCACTGTTATTAGGCCACAGGTGAGCCATGTGACTCTCCAGTGTACCTTCACCTGATTATTGATTTTCATTGGCTAAAAGCCATTGTGAAGCCGGAGCAAACTGTTAGAAAATCAGACTTGAATTACACTGACAAAAACATATAATTCTTCTCTCTTCCCCAGGGTTGATGTAGAAGAATTAAACAGGTATGACTGAAAGTCATGGACCCTGGCAAATATTTCCAGGAAAAACGCCTAAAATAACATACCCAAAATAAATCAGTAATATCTCCTCAACCATTAGGTCTAGATGCATAATTCTGGTCCTCTTTGAAAGGTCAGAAGCTAAGGAATATAAATCCATTGTACATTAACGTATTTATTTTACCATTACAGACTACATGGAGATGAAATACAGAAAAAATGTGATATTTTCATCCTCGCCTGGTAAAAAAAGCTATATTTTAATGCAATAAACCATCAAAACCATCATAAGGTAGATAATGCACCTGAATATCTTCTAATACAACTGGAATACAACTGTAAATGTAAATTTGATGAAAAAAAAAACTAATATACAACAGTTATTACACAATCTTTCCAAAAAATATCAGGCGAATGTCCATGTTTTGGCCATATTTACTGTTTATATGTTCACTTTTATTGGGAGTTATCTTCAAAACATTATTTCTCTCCATACAACCACGTTCCAAATAACATAAAACTTCCAAAACATTGAAATACTGATAAAAACAGTCAATATATATGACCATGCTTTACAGGCCGCAGCTTGAGAATAGAACATCCTACAGGGCTTCTCTTCGTATTAACAAGACGAATCGATTCATATGCTGGATGTCTGTGTAGCTCCTACGGGTCGCCAGCAGAGGCCGATAAAGACTGCCTCCGCCAAAACAAACTCTTCTTCTCTACTTCAATCTGACGACAGAAACGAAAATTAGTGACGAAGCCAACCTCACCAAGATGGCGGCCCGCCAGACGGTCTCTGTTGACACTGTTGACCAATAGCCGGTTTATTATTGAGAATTACTACCTCTTTTTTTAACCCGCGCAACTTTTCTAGCATTTACTGTACTGATTTAACGGCCCAGGAAACTCACAGACCAATCGCATGTGCTCTAATCGTCTCATGTGCTACAGCTGTTCATTTGTTAAGATGTGTTGAGTGTTTATTATAAAATTGATTAAGACTTCACTTCATCACTTCAAGCTACACTTTGTATGATTTTTTCCCCTGAAATTAAGCACTTTATTTTAGTTTACTTAAATTTGGAATTTATTATTAGAGTAGTTTTTCATTATTATCCCCCCAGTTTAATGTGAAAACTGATTATTGTTGAGATATTGTCAGTGTTTGACTAAAAACATATGTTGATAAAACTATACGTTAAGGCACTGAATGATAATGCAAGTTAGACGTTATGATGTTTCAGGCCTTTGCTTCGGGAAATTTTCTCTAACTGGATTTCTTTTAATTCTAATTGAATACCCCTGCTTTAGACATTAAAAACGTTTAAAAAATGTGAGCAACACAAACAAGCCTCGTTTGTGTTGCTCACATGGTCGACATGCATACAATTGCTGACTTAGGTTTAGGCACACACCCTGATGGTTAGGGTTAGGATAAGATGCTTTGGGAAGCTGTCAACGCATTTTATACTAACAGCTAGCTACCTAGCTAACCACCTAGCTAGCTACTAGCGCTTCCAGTCTAGACAAAGCGTCTAATTCAGACGAACCCAGAGGATACCTTTTGCATCACATAACGCTAATAAAGCATAAGTATTTGATGCCCTGAGATGAGAACAGCCAACACCACACGAATAATTATGAACAGGCACATTTGCGGTAACCGTCTTTGACAGACAGGACCCCTTTTGTGCATGTGAAGAGCGGCTCTTGCTGGCGGTACAGATATGGCACCTACAGACACAAAGAGCCGCTGTTAAAACAGCGAAAATCAATTAAGCCCCCTGTATTGGGTCAGTCCATTTCCAAGTGGTATGTTTCAAAGCTGAGTTTAAAAGCCAGAAGCATTAACTTTGGGGAATACTTGTCATGCTGAAGTTATTTTAAATACATTATCCAACAAAGCTTTCACACTCTAAGCAATTGGCACTTACAATACATGCATTTTTACAATGTGAATAAAATCCAAAAGTTGCAATTGAATCAAGAGGAGCAGCCTACAAGAATAGGTCTAAATGATGATACACGGAGCAACTTTTAGAGCAAAGGTGCTGGGCAATGTTGCCGTCAACGGTAATTATTAAAGATTACTACTGTAATCCCCTTCCCCCACCACTCTGCCACCTGCTCCGCCCCACCGCTATCCATTCAAAACATAGTCGGGCTTGCCACAAGCAAGATTGCCCAGCAACATTGCTCAAAAAGTTGCCCCGTGTATCATCAGCTTTAGATTCTGACTGCAAACCCATTGCATCATGTATCATCCATTGTGTTTGTTCGGTAAATGTTTTGGTCAGTATTTAGACCTATTCTTGTAGGCTGCTCCTCTTGATTCAATAGCAATTTTTGGATTTTATTCACATTGTAAAAATGCACATATTGTAAGTGCCAATTGCTTAGACCACATTCGGAGGTAACATTTGGCCACATTCTTTTAGCAGTGCTTCATTAGCAAGAGGGCTATGCTGTTGGTAGTAGAGTTTCGGGGACCATTCTGCTGCGATTAGTCTTCTTTGAAGAAACCTGCAGAATATGTGGTGGCGGTGTACGATTGGCATCAGTTGTTTGTGATACAAAACGTTGAACTCAATCCCATTGGCCAAGGTTGGGCCAAGTGAATTGGGGATCGAATGCTGATTGCATGAGCTTTCAATCCAGATTACAGTGTGAAACGGATTGTGTCGAGAGTGAATCCTATAAATCTAGGATCATGGGAAGACCTGCTGTTTCTCTGCAGACCTTGGAACCCGGAGGTTGGAGAAAACCAGAGAGCTTGGCACAGCGACAATGGAGCCGGAAAGCAGGATGAGACCGGGTACCTCTTGGAGGGCATGTTAGGGTTGCGTGGTCGAGTGGGCCCTGATTACACCACTGAAGCAAGGTGTGGCTTGGAAGCAGTATGGATGTGTTTTTTGGTAAAACAGTGCCTCTGACTTGGGGACCCGATCTAGAAAAATGGCCATGTAATCTTCTTAGAGTGTGAAGAAAGTTCTCTCAACCGGGTGGGTGTAATCTACTCAAACTAAACAGCAGCAAAACAGAGCTAATGGTAGTGGCTCCCAAGCCGCTGCCCCTGAGGTTAGATGATCTACTCCCCAAAGTGAATGATTGCTCCATCTCTCCATCCCAAGAAGTCCACAACCTTGGTGTCATTTTGGACTCCACCCTTTCTTATTTGCAAAGCGTCCTTGGGTCCTTTGAAAGGTGCTATAAAAATATAAGTTATTATTATTATTATTATTATTATTATTATCACATTTGATGTTTGCAAACAGAAATTGTGTTTATTTGCATAGAGAAGTGCATTAGTGGTCACTTGAGACGCATGCAGGGACGCATTCTAATGCCAGGTGTGAACTCACACACTTGGAGCTGTCCCCTTGTGATCACCCGTGATCATGATGATGATGCCAGGTATGAACAGGGCCATAAAGCCAAATCTCCCATCACCTTGCGTACTCCCTGTGGTGAAAAAAATTATGTTTAATGAACTGATGACTGTGCTTCACTGAGATAAAAATGCAATGAAAGGTTCATTTTCGTCTGCAGATTTCCTATATGAGAGGAAGTCCTGTGGGCCCTTTCTCTGGTTTTTCACATTGAACGGCCACAGTAAAGCTGGATTATTTTTCTGTCTAGCTTTGTATTTGAATTATTTTTTGTCTGTATTTAACTGGAAGTTAGCAGAAGCACGTCATTTTGCAAGAGGTGAACTGAGGTATGAATCTCTTTTATTATTCTAGCATGAAATAAAATATATAAAAATATAACCACAAAATCAACTTTAAAAAAACATATTTTAAACCTGCAGGGCAGAACATTTTTCTCCCTCTTCTAACAGAGAGAGTAATTACACAATACTGTCAACACGTGCTTAGGTTCTGCATTATGGCTCTAACATACTGAGTTGTTGTTGCTCGTGAATGTGAGACCACATTTTAAAACTCTGGAATACTGCGAGTACAGAGAGATTTTCCTGGCGGTGACGGTCTTAATCAGCATTGTGTGAACTCATTTGGAAAGGGCTTGAATGTAACGGACATTTACATGTAAAAGTCCTGCATTCCAGCTTTAACTTCACTTGGTATTGTCATTTAGTATTGCATATTGTCAAACACATTTATTACACTACATTACTTTGTGCCTTTCGGTGACAGGGGCACCAGGGTAGATTGCTGTTTGGCCTGGTTGGCTATCATGCCAATCCTGAGCAACATGGCTTTAAGCTATTGCATAACAGTCATTGTTTGAACAACACAAGTGATGTTTGTGTAAAAAATACATAAAAAATGACATGGCTTTTAAGCAGAAAGATTCTGAAACGCCTTTGGAGTCGGCTTATGGTAGAGAAATGAACATTCAATTCAGCTCTGGTGGACATTCCTGCAGTCAGCATGCCAATTGCACGCTCCCTCAAAACTTGCAACATCTGTGGCATTGTGCTGTGTGATGGAACTGCACATTTTCGAGCACAGGGCACACCTGTGCAATACCCATGCTGTCTGATCAGCATCTTGATATGCCATACCTGTGAGGTGGATGAATTATCTCGCCAAAGGAGAAGTGCTCACTAACACAGATTTTGACAGATTTGTGAACAATATTTGAGAGAAATAGGGCTTTTGTGTACAGAGAGAAAGTCTTAGAACTTTGAGTTCAGCTCACGATGAATGGGGGCAAAAAACGAAATTGTTGCGTTTATAATTTTGTTCAGTGTATTTTCATCTGTGTGAAAAATAATAATTTCTCTGCAGCTACGGCATCACGGCCACTGTGTCAGTTGAGTCCTTCTTGTAGTGACAAAGTAAAACAGCAAAAACAGTTGTTCCATCAGGCTTTCCTTTCACTCAGTGGTTTCTAATTAGCTGCTAGATGTTGATCTCAGCACATTCAGTCCATTCTGTTGTAACAACTGAGAGCACACACACAAACACATACAGTCCACATCCAGCACATGAGCTGTAAACCCAGACATGGCCATTCAGATCTGTCTATCCCACTCTTGTGCAAATCTGCTCCGTCATCCCTCATCTCCAAAACTTGGCCTGCTGTCTATACTGTCCATCCTTGCCAGCCAAAAAACAGCAGATGGATCTAAAGAGAAAGACTCATGGTCATGGTGACAATAGGGTTTATTTAGAGTTCACCTTCGGACTGCATTTCAGTAAGGTACTGGTATGTACACATGGGGGTAATGGGATGATTTCTGAAAGCAGGGCAAAAGGAAATCGAGCAAAGTGCCAATGAACGAGGGACAATGTGAAGGAGGAGAAAATCTTCACAGGGGTCACATTTTTAAAAAAAAGTATAAAATGGACACAGTGAGACAAACACAGCTGTTAAAGTTCTGAGACAAACACTTCCTCATAAATGTCCGTGTGGCTGTCTGGAATCATTATACTGCTCACCCAGTTAACCTCAAGTCGTCCTGTGGTATGAAAAGACTGATACAACAAAGACAGACAGTGTTCAGAGGAGTAAAGGTCATCAATTATTTACCTGAGGAGCATGGGCATAAAGCCAGGAACAACACCTTCATTAATTTATAAAGAGATTACTAAATGAGTGATTAATTAATAACAATATCCTTTTACAAAGGAATACCAACACAGGGATTTTGATAAGAATAAAAGGTCTTTCAAACAGTTTCTCTCTGTGTCTAGTTAAAACTAAAAAGCAAATCCTCCACAGTCAAATGCATCAAAGTCGGAGTCTCCTTCAAAGTCGAAGCTGTTGAAGTGCGGAGAGTCGACGTCCTGGCTGCAGGCGTGGAAGGAGCCTCCTGCGGGAAGCTCGGAAAAGCCCCCTGTGCCATGGGCGATCTCTGGGGCTCTGGTGGCAAGAGGAGAGGAAGGGGAGCAGGAGTTGAGGTAGCCCAGAGCGGAGGAGGCCGCTGCCCCTCCCATCAGCAGGCACACCGCCCTCACCGCCCGGGCATCGGTGCTGTTGCCATGGCGAAGACAATCTGACACACGATGAGGGGGGGCCACAGAAGCACTACGTAGAGGCCGCCGTGGTCCACTGGCTGTAGAAGGAATTAGAACAATAATATGAACAATATGCAAAAATATATAATTCATCGGATGATTGTTTTATTTAATACACCAAATTAGAGAAAAGTTGCCAAGTTGTCAAATTATCAGATTAATTTGCAGTTTGGGTTTTAAAAATTTGAACTTGTTTGCTCTTTATCCAGATTCACAGTCATTTTCCTGCCTTTAACCATGGCTCTTACTTGATCCCACAGTCCTCCAGGTTTCCTGCATTTGTAGGGGATTACAGTCATGTACTCATCAGCAACTAATATTAAAGTTCCCTAAAGTGTCTCTGTGCATTTGATTGAAGCTCCATTCAAATTTATTATAATAACAGCGAATCAAATTGCTGCTAATGTCCCACTTCTTTGACATTTTCAGCCTGAATGTTGTTTTACTAGTCTACACTATCTACCTAGAACAAAACAAAAGAGGTAAACCATAAAATATTATTTTTCTGATATACATCACAGGGGCTTTTCTGCCAAATTAGAACTAAAAGGCAAGTAAAGATTAGACTTAAATTAATTAGGTGGATACAAATATGCTATGGCTCTGTGTTGTCTGCTGGATGTGTAAGCAGAAAACTGCTAGTATACATGTCATCCATAATAACCTCTGTGTCTGTGAGCTTGTTCTTTACACTCACCACATCTCCCACAGCTGAGAGAGTTCACTATACTGTAGCCTTACTTAAGAGATCACAAACAAATTAAAATACCATAGCAAATTTCTCACAGATGACACAATACCTTGGTTTTGGCTTCTGTCTCTAAGGGAGCCTCCCCGTTCAGGGACTCGAGACAAAGGAGGGGTGCCCTCACCAACCCTGGGTGACCCGGGGTCTTTATCACTTGAAGAGTCGGGCAGTGGGTCTCTGTCGGTGATGCAAGGAATGATGCTACGCTGTCTCTGAAGGGTCAGAGGTGACATGACACCCTAGAAAATGAGACAAACACAAGTTTATTATATCACAGAGATAAACAGTCTGTTAACACAGAAGCCTCACATGCTATGAAAAACACCCAAAGAATTCCCTTTGGATGTTTGTATATATTAAATCATTTTAAGATTCAGACGTTTTCAGATGTTTTTAGAAATGCATATACAGTATAAACACACTACTAGAAATCAGAGGTGAGGTGTTGAGATGGAGAAAATAGGATGAATAAAGTGACAACAGGACCAGACTGAAGTCAAAACTGCTGACTCACCTCTCTCACTTTTCTAATCAGCTTCAGCCACAGACTGTGAAAGGTAAAATGACAAGTCATTAGATCTGAAGCAGATCCAGATCTTTACCACAACACAGGAAATGTGATATTGTCCCAGTCTGATAACCGTCTGCAGTAAACATGTCTCATAGGAAGTGGGACAAAGGCGATATGTGTCAATATGTCACCTGCGTAGTTAACATCTGATAATGAGTGGGGCAAAAGACAGCGTTTGTGTGTGTGTGTGTGTGTGTGTGTGTGTTTGAGGGAAAGAGAGAGAGAGAGCGACCCACTTGCAGTCATCAGGGTTGTCTGTGAGAAGCAGCAGGAACTTGTTCTGAGGCAGGATGAGGGCAAAGCAGCAGTCCCTCCTGCCCCCTGGTGGCAACTTTGGCAGGTCAAGGATTTCTCGTCCCTCTGCAATGGACTCACAGTTGGTTTGTAGTGCAATCACCTGGTCTGGAGGGGACTCTGCATCGCGGCACACCAACAGGCTTCCCTCTATGGTCAGCACAAGGTACCGCTCCTTCCACTGCTTAAACATGAAGCCCCCTGCAGCAAGAAAAAGCAACAGAGAGAAGCATGCATGTAGGAGTTGGAATTAGTCCATTTATTATTGCTTTTATTATATTTATGGTATGAGTGATAGAAGATTAACAGTAGGCTGCTGTAAATGAAAATAGATCTGAAAAACTAGAAAGAGGAAGTTTTCTTTCCACAGGACTAACAGTCTACAGTCATGCTAGCAGCTCTGAGGCTGGAGCCTACTTAGTGATGATGAGTTAAATGCTAACACTAGCATGGCAACATGCTCTCCTAGACAATGTTAACATGCTGATGTTTTACAGGTATAATATTGAACATGATCACTAAAGGAAGGTTAGCATGCTGACATTTGCTAATTAACACAAAACTCAAAGTACAGCTTAGACAGATGGGAGTGTCAGTTTGCAGGTATATGGCCGTAAAAAAAGTCTAGGATTACCAATATTGTTGAGATTCAGCCTTTGGCGACCATGAATGGCTGAACCAAATTTCATGGCAATCTATAAAATACTTGTTGATATACAGTATTTCAATGTGGACCAAAGTGGTGAATGACAGCATAACATTTCCATCCATACAGCAGTACCACATTCTTGCCGCTAACATGGCTAAACTCTATCAGTCATCTTTGAAATTAGTGTCCAATTGCACTAATTTGCACTTTGTCAGCATAGTGGAGAGTTGTTAATTGTTGTCATTTATTTTCATTCAGCATGAAAAATAAAGACATTTTGTTGAGCTACCTTCTTCAATTCCTGCTAAGCTCTAGAGTTTTCCGTTAATTATTACAGTGACCAGAAAATTATGAACACCTGAAATTTTGAAATGTTCATTACCAGTCCTCCTTTAGTTGTTTGTGTGGTGATTCATTTTTTTAAGGCTGTGCTTTGGACTGCACTGTATTGAAAGTTTTTTTTTATTCAGTTTTATGTCCAAATCATTTATGTAATAGGATAAATATTAAGATATATTATTATTATGAATATAACACCCTAAAATACAATGTAATTCAATACAAGAATTTGCAAATATAGCATTTGTAATATAGCCATTGTATCAAATGTAATTACACTTCTCAAGAGGACATTCTCTGCAGGAAATAAACTGTAGAAAACATAATGTTCATTTATACATCAAAAGAACCTCACCTTTACCAGCACATCACTAATCATACATTTCAAGGAAGGGTTGTTCGAAACCTGTACTGTATTTAAAATAAACAAAAAAATACAATTGCATGTCACCTGAATTCTAGGGGAAAAGCACAATGTAAACTATACAAAGAGAGTAAAACAACAGTGCTTGGAGCAGCACTAACTTGTGAAAGTTAATAATTATAACATAAATGTCCCTGTCCTTGCAGCTAGCTATCTAGGGCAACTCAGCAATAATACAATGTTTGTCAACTTTTTCATTACCTTCAAGTTAACCTGTAGAAACAAAAGGAAAAGCTTCTGTTTTTGGAACATACTGTGATACACACATGATGGTGTTAGATTGTAAGTGTCCCAGACAGCCGTCCATTGTGTAATAATGATAATAGATGGAGAGCACATGTTGATGGGTGTGTAAAGATTTGCTCTATTTCTCCATACAGAGGATTAAAGACAGGTGGATTTTGCAAGAGAGAGAGAGAGAGAGAGAGAGAGAGAGAGATGGATTTATAGGAGCATTATTGCTAAGGTATTTTACTGTTAGTCAGCAAAGAAGTAAATGAAAAATTTAAAGAAGAACTGCTGACATTGCATTATCTTCTATCAAATCAAGGGAGATATAAAACAGATGTAACAAAAGCACAAAGACATGAAACACTTGCTGAGTGCTGAATCCTGACTTGGCTTTGAAAATGAACATCTCGTCATTCTGTAAAAACACATGTGGGAGCGATTATATCACAGATTGATATCACTTATCTCAGAGTTGAAGTGCTGATCTGAAACAGCATTTTTCTTCTCACTCATTGTTACGTCAACAGCTGTATGAGCTCTGTTGTTCTCAGAAGAATAACTGAAAATATGTTACTCCTTGGGTGAAAAATAAGTTCTGTTGTACTGTTGTAAGAACAGTGTTTTTGGGAGATTTGCAAGTTTCACAATGGAGAAAAACTCTCCACATGGTAATAAATAAATAATGGTAACATCAACATTATCAACTATGATCATGCACTGTCTACTTATCAGAATGTTATACAGTATGCTGTATCAAAAGTCAAGGTCATATTTTATTTTAGTGAATTACATAGTTTTTTGCATTAAATGTGGGTTACTTAATTAGTTACTTTAAATGTCCTCCCTATCCACCTATGTTTGCAGTTTCTACTTAATCGTGATCTGAGTTAGCTTTGTTTTATGATGAGCACAAAAATGAAGCAAACAACATTCAGACAAAGAGATACAGTCTATCACCCATTACATGAAGGCAGAGAACTGCACACTAATGAAGGAATCAAAGGGGGCCTACCATATTTCCTCAGGAAGCCTCGATGAATGCCTGCTGTGCTCATGCCTGTGGTCATCACAGCAACAAGGGCTGAAATGAGAGGCAGAGCATCTGATGCTGAAAAATAGGGTAAGAGAGAGAGAGAAAGAGAGAGAGAGAAAATAATCCTCACTATTTAGGCCTTCCTTCTTTAAACCCGTGCTGTTGTGAGTGGAATTGGAGCCATCCCTGCTTATGCACACATAAACATCATAGTTTAAGGCCTAAATAATCATAACAGCAATAGATAAATCCCACCAGGAAGATCCCATGATTTTCATTGCGCCCATCACCAGATGTCATGTTGGACTTTCCCATACTGCTCCTCTTTTAGGAACACACTCACAGATTCAAACCTCTATGTGCAGTCCAGCACACAACATATGGGTGATTCATAATAGCTTATCATTAAACTGTCACCAAACCTGTTTTCCAGTGTATCTCTGTGCCCTTGGATGGCATCCGAACCAGGGCTTGGAGCTGCTCCCGCTCAAGCAGATTAAAACAGAGGGATTATTATTCTTGCACAGCTGGAAGCCTGTTGTCGCAGTGCTGTGGATAGGCCCAACCAAGATTTTAATCTACCCAGACCTGGGATACCCCTCCAGGCAACAACCTCCAAGATATGAACTGTTTTTCAATGTCATATATCCAAGCGGGATTAAACGGCACTCATTGTAATGGCTTGTGCTTGCTTATCACAATTACAATAACATTATATAACAGGTCCTAAATTCACAGATAAATGGGTTATAAGATGGTGGCAGTGTCAGAAAGAGAAAGAGAGACACAGTGTAGTTATCCCTTGGGGAAATTAAGTACAGTGCGCAAGATTCAGTAGGATATGACAAATGGATTTAAGTCACATCGATTTAAAATAAACAAGGATGAGCTCTCTCAGCAGTCACATCCCTTCATGTGCAGTGTATTCCTTTAAATGAAAATCCTCCAAAATTGTGGATTCAAGGGACAAAATCTCATTAAACACAGAAGAACATAATGTGTGCCATTCTGGGGTTCTATGATTCTTAATTTAATTTGCTAAACCAGTCTTAACTAGTTCAATAAATGCAGATGCAATTAATACATGCATATTGTATTAATTGACACTAAAAAGCAACACACTTAAGTTGACGCTGTAATAAAAACAGTTACGGTACGGAAGAATAATGTCTGGTTTCATGCTTACAACAATTGAAAGGAGGGCTTGACAAACAACCAACAAATCTTCAAAGAAAAGATACACAAAAATAGATAAATACATTAAACACACACGTCTGTAAAAACCCACAAACCAACAAATATGCACCAAATCTTTCCCCAAAAATTGTTTTTAAAGTATCTGAAATGTACCGTATGACACCAACAGCCATTGTTTTAAGCCTATTTCTGTTTTGGATGAATGTGGAAGTTAATTCTCAGTGATAATTGGTTGTGTTTATAGTTTATTACAAATCATAAACAGAGCTTGTTATTTAAAGCCAAGTGTTAATGGAAACCTGGTCCTCATTCTTAAAGTGACTGTTATTTTTCCATCCAACAGATCGGTGCTATCAAGTGGATATTTATGAACTTTACATCTATAAAAGAAAGCAGATGTTCAAAATTAAGGAGAGTATCAAGGGTTGGACCTATGAGGCATTTGCTCTTGTAGTAGGCTATAGTAGTAGTGACAGTTTAAATTTATTTAAATATATATGTTGTCATATATGAAAAGACCCAAAATGACCACTGTAAGCAGACTACTGTAAGATAACTATTTAAACAGCATTTTTATAGGAATGATTCTGTCCCAAGTGTTTTGATCCATATAAGCGGTTGATCACTGTAAACGTCATTACTATAAGTGGTTTTTTACTGTAGGACCAAATTCCCGCTGCTGTGTTACAGTCCCTCTGCCGTGGCTCAGCAAGGAAACACTGTCTGTGGAAGCACAATTCTAAAAACATTATACACTTTTTTTTGTCTTACTCAGATTGCCAGAATTACTAATTTTCCAGAGAGCAAGGACTATGGATTTTGTCCCCCATCACTTACATTAATATTGCTTCAAGAAGGAATGTATTTGCACTCAATATGGACAGGAGGAACAACTGCAGCGACAACTAACTCTGTCAATGTAGATATGGGCATATCAGTATTGTTTTAAGATAGACTTTAATACACCTGAATCTGTCCTTTAAAGTATACCCTATATTAATGTATGTTCATATTTTGGTAGCAAAAAGTACACATACACATATTTATATGCATTTCCTACAAGTTATACACTATAAAGATATGAGGTTTTAATGTAAGTGACCATCACGGCCTGTATTTACTGTATCTGTAATTGATTGAATGTAAGGTGTAGTATGAGGACTTTGCATTGGCCACCAGCAGGAGGCAGAAAAGCCTCTGCCAAATTTAGGCAGTCACGTGTCATTATAGTCCTTGTGATGTATCAACAGGTTGGGGAAAGCAGTTTGGCTTCATCCAGCCTGCAGTAAAAAGAAGAAGAAGGGGTTTGCTCATTGTCAGCATTCCCACATGGCCCTGTAGCTGGGAGAGCAGTAGGAAGGTGTTTCCCATGTCTTGCAGCCAAGAGGGACTCTCCTTTGAAACTAACAGGTTATTTTGTTCAGCAGGCAATGGAGACTAACTAGAATATTGGCACTGCAGTCTGCCTTTGTGAGAGGACATAATAACTGGTGTCCATATTTTTTGGTAAAAGTGTTTTTGTTACCGGGAGCATGTGCTTTCAACTCTGTTAATCCACTTTAGCTTCATCTAAGAATCCATAAGTCTTTAAGTCTTCGGTGAATCAAGTTTGCAGGATTTTGGTGTGGCTTAAACCTAAACACTGAGTCCTGCAGAGCTGATGCCCATCCCCCTCAAAAGCCAAACAATCACTAGCTACTTCCCGGCCCATGCAGCCCCAGAACTTTGTGTTTTTGAGTAGAACACCCCTCTTTCTTGTAGAGGACCCCCTCGGTGACCCTCTTCCCTCCCTCCCTGCCTCTGTCTCTCTCTGTGGTTCTATCTGGGAGCAGTGAGAGCACCATTGCTCAAGCTCCTATTGAAAAGACAACATATACAATGGGGTCTTTCTCACTCCCTCTCTGTCTCCATTAAAGACCCTGGGAACACAACACTGTCCACAGAGCCACTCTTAAAGGGCCAGTGGGACCCAGGTCTTCGCAACCTGAGTCCCAGCACCTCCCATCATTTTCATGGGAAAAGGAAAAAACAGGAATCCAGGCAGCAAATCAATTATTCATGAATGGTATGTGAACTCTGCTGGGCCTTCTCCCGTGCAGGCAGCTAAAGCGCCATCATCACCTCTGTTTAAACACACACAGTCACCTCAGACAACACAGTCTACAACAACACAACCAGCCCCATACTGCTGCTCTCTGCGTCTGATGGGAATCAGGGACAGCAGCATTTATTTAGTCTACATGCAGCTGATGACGCTTCAGTCTGTTTTGGCTGAAATGTTCAAACAAATCCCCAGACAAAATCCCGGTTATGTGGAGCAACAATAAATACAACAATAATATTCTGAATATTACTTTACTGTAATATATTTTTGGTCTCTTCCCTTTTCCCCAGCCTCCATCAAGAGGCTTTTATAATCTTGTCATTAAAAATATGGCATTAAAATGCCTGGTTAAATTTTGAACATTTGAAAGTGACTTGACATATTTGGTTTATAGGCCAATGATGAAATTAATTGGAAGGCAGACGTTTTTGTTTTTTAACCAAGTTCTTTCAAGAATTTAAGATTTGATTTTACTAATTTAATTGGTTGTATTTACATAAACAATGCAAATGAGTCAACAGTTGATGTGGCAGTGTGTCTTCATCCACTCTACACTAAATATATAAAACCACCAACCAAATCATGCAAAACACATTTTTAAGTGTCGGTAAATCAGGACACAGTAACAGTCAGTTTACATCATACAGGTAAAATTAAACCAGGGTACAATTACTAGATATCCACCAATAACAGCAGATAAGACAAGCAAATACTGACATTCACGCACCTAAAGTGAAAATGAATCTAGGCTACAACCAAACAAGTGGTACAGGTATAGCAAAGTAAGTTACTGCTCCTTAATACACAATGATGAACTTTTTTTTTAACAGACTGATTTGTACTCTGTTATCTATAATGTTGTGATCCACACATGGGCAGAAAACAGGTCTGTCTTTGCTACAGACTGACACATATACTTTGTTTCAAGCTGGAAACGGGTGATTTACTTGGATATTGGGTTATTTACAACCTCCGGGGGTCCGTATGTAATTAAAAAGCGAATGGGGGATTGTGTTGAGACAATCAGCATGCCGCAGGGTTTCTCACATCCTCTGAGAAAAGGAGGGAGACTCAGGAGGAGGAGGAGGGTGGAAAGAACTTGAGTTGAGGAATTCGAATCCTGTTTGAAGGGGGAGAGAGGGAAGAGAAAGAGGGGAATGTCTGAGAGAGTCTGAGGGAACCGGTGGGCAGGAGAGAGAAGTTGGACGACAGACTGCAAGAAACATTGGTTTCAAAATACTCCCTCGGTTGCTAGAAATAGATTGGCGTTGGACAACTTCATCAAAAGCTTAATCAGCGGCCATAAAGTTTGGAGTGCCTTTTGCAGTGCGCTTTTTGGGTAGCCTAAAAGTTTGGTGCAGTATTGGGATCAACCAAAACGACAGCTTTAGGGGGAAAGCAATACTTTGTTTAACGCTGATTTTTTACACACTCTGTCTCCTTAAAAAGGGAACTGAAACTACGGGATCCGCTTTGTGGATAAAACACATTTTCAGCAATTGCCAGATTCACAACGAAACTTTTTTCAGCGCACAACTTTGGATCTTTGAGCTACTGAGATGCGGTGATGGAGTTCGGCGATGTTTCCAAGATGACTGCTCTTCTCATAAAGCACACTTTCAGGGGTGATCTCCTCTCAAGAAAAAACATGAGCCCGTCTATGTGGTCTTTGTTGATCCTCACCGTCATTTTTTCTACTTGGAGGCCAGTAAGCGCCGGCACACTGACAGGTAAGGTTTAATTTCCTCTGAGCAGCGGCAGCAGCTTGTATACTAGCTGACGGTTGTTTGTCAACTTCAGTGCGAGGAATAACATCGTAACGAGCAATTAACCCAGTCAGCCTTCTGACTTATTAAATCAATTTGCTTTGGGGTGGCGAGTGCAACCACAGCTGTAAGTGTGTTCAACATCTGGCCAACATGAAGGAATTCATTACACTCATAAAAAAAGCCTTTTAAAACAAGGTGATCAAAGAAAACAAATGAAACATAAGTTGGACTGGTTCAGTCAGACTGAAGATTTTACTTCTGAAAGTGACTTATATTTTGCTGATGATTTATTGACAGCAGGTAAAAGGTGAGGGAGGAGGGTTTGTTATGCAGAGCTGTTTTTCTTGACTGGTATTAAAATGTTTTTGAGGTCAGGTCCAACATAAACCCTTCTGCAAAATCTTTATTCTTCTTGGGAACTCATCCAAACCAGGTATCCAGACCAGGATTCCCACCATTCCTGGCATTTTGGTATACTGGTATACTGAGGAATTTTGAGAGATGTAGTCCATGCAGGGAAAGGGATAAAAATAAATCCTGCTTGGAAGTGAGAGAATCATAACATGATAGAAAGTCACTTTACAAGCATAGCAGAGCAACAGTGTGACAAATCTGCTGTTTTGCTCTATTGAAGGGTGGAAACCAGACCCTTTTAGAAAATTGTGTACATATCAGGTCATTTTACATCAGGACCACAAGTGAAGGAACCGTGCCAACCATCATTCAGAAATCCTTATCTGCTTTAACATCAAACAGTCATCTGCTATACTGTAACCAGTGGATGATAACAAGGAGTCCCTAAGGGGGCCTCCACCTGTCATGCCCACGCTGTCTCTCTGGGAGCTGTATCTCTGCCCTCAGCAGATGAATGACCGGGATGCACAGAGATTACTAGACACCGCTGTGATTTATAAGCTTAGACTGATGGTTTCAAAGAGAATTTTTCCTGATGTCTCAGTTCCTATTTGGATGTAGGGATGGCTGTGGTGGAGTGAGGGATGAGGAATGCTTTGGTTTGTGAGTCAGAACCGGTCTGACTCAGACTCAAGCAGTGAAATGATGGATGGGGTAAGGGGGCAAGAGTGGAAGAGAAAGAGTTCGGAGGGGAGGTGGCAAAATGTGTAGCGATGAATCCAAAGAATGGCATGAAAAGGAGGCTAAATGAGAAAAGGGCAAAGGCGCAGCAGTGAATGGAGGGGCTGAGTTATGTAGCATTAAATAGCCAGAAACATAAAGGAGGGAGTGAGAGGAGGATAAATGCTCAGACTGTGTCGGGTATTTTTGGTATGTCCGTGTCCACTGACATTTAGCATCTGAGCAGAGAGAGAGAGTAGGAGTAGAGATGGGGTGAAAAGAGAGAGATCGTGAAAAAAAGTGTGGGGCATCGAGGGAATTCAGGGGACAAAAGGGAGAAGATGGAGTAGTTAAGCACAAATGAATCATTGGAGACAGGCCACACACACACACAGTATGGCCTGCTCTCTCTGTCTACCTCGACATTCTCATAAAAGGTTTACAAGCTTATTATTATATGAATGCAGCTCTTAAGAAAGAGGAAGAAAGCAGGGTTGTTTTTGTTCAATATGGCACTGGAAAAAAACAAAGTCATGGCCACGCAGATTCTTGAAAGGGCTCAGCCAAGCTTAAAAATAAAGGGAGTAATGACTTTTAACGCCAAAAAGCACACAGAGACAGAGAAGCGGTGAAGCAGAGACTCAGTGGGCCCCTTCATTTATTGCACACTCCCAGAACAAGCTTTTTGAATGCTAGGTTGTGTGTGTGTGTGTGTGTGTGTGTGGATTACACATTTACAGAATCAAGAGCATGTTCTACTTATGAGTAAAATAAGTGCTGCCAAAGTGTACTTTTTACATTGCAGGTCTGTTTTCAGAAGCGGAATTATGTGTGTTTATGTGTGTTTGCGTGAGATGGGTTGCAGTGGAGTTCTCTGGGGTCCCAGGGAAGGGGTAAGAGGTTGAAGGTTGGCCATGAAACTGACTAGGAGGGCGGGTTGACAAGCTTGAGAAAATCTTGAACAGGTATCACCAAAACATGTGTGATTTATTCTTGTGTTAAAATTCAAGAACACAAGCCAAGTCTGCACATTCTTATATTGTTATCTATTCTATCAAGGCAAGGTGTGCGATGCTTTTTTCTGCTCTGTGGATGCTAAGCATTTTATGCTGTAGAAGAAAGAAATGGATTCCTGTAGGAGAGATCCATTTCCATCACATGTATGTGTCCTTTTAAAATTTAGAGTTCAAGGCTATGACCATTCTTTTATCTTTGAAACAGCATGCATGCCTTGCCCTCAGCATTATCAGGAATACCACTCATTTCTGCTGAATGCCTTACAATGAGAAAAAGCAGAACCAGTTCATACTCATCGTATTTCATTTAAGTTTTTGGGATGTTGAACAGATTCACAGACATCTTGCCAGACGACCTGCAGGCCTTTTATTGGTGTCTGCGAGAAACTCTGAAAATGTTTAGTGTTTGTGTGAAGCTCTCTGTGCTCTGACACTGAGGGACCAGCGAGAGCAGCAGTCCTCTAACAAGTAGCCTTTGTCCCACTATCAGCTCTGTCCTTCTCTCAGGTCAGCCCCTCTGTCACTAGAGGACACAAGATAACTGGACTCTGGGTTCACCTTCTGTTATCATATCTCAAAATCAAGACTTTCCAGGATACATTAACATTTCTCAGAACAAGCACAAATTAAGATTTTAGTGGTGAGGCAGTTTCTTTTTTTCTATAACTAGAAATTGAATATATTTCAGTTACTACTACTACTTTTCATAGATACATGATTATTGGGTAATGGTAAAACTATCAATATAGTGTTTAATAATTAAGATAATCATTAGTTAATTAGTAATGAATCATAATAAAAGTTAGATTAGTAATTTATCAAATAGTTTCCCCATTGTTGTAAAATAAGGTTTTGGTTTTTTGGCTGTGAAAACATTTATCATGTTATAAAGGTGTACTGTATGTAAGGTTTAATTAATAGCCAACAGGAAAACAAACCCCTAATCCCGCTTCTTCCCTCTCTTAATCAAAGATATGGAGTTTGAGCGGAGTCCCACTACTGTCATCTCTTCACTGGGCAAACCTGTTACAATGCACTGCACCCTAAAGGGTACAGGGGGAGAGGAAGAGGACCCCCCTGATGTGCTTTGGCTGAGGGACGGTGTGCCACTTCAATACGCAGATACCAACCAGTTCCAAGTTCACACTGGCAGCAACAGTTGGACAATCATGAGCACACTCAGGTAGGCAGCATTTTTCTCTGTGACACTTTCTAGCTGCTTTTGCCATGTCAAGGCTTAATTGATAAAGGTTTGTCTGTTGAAAAGCAGCCACACCTGGCCTAAAAATGTCAGTCATGGATCTGATTGTGAATTTCTATTCTTCTTATTTATTTCCTGTTCCTCCACCTTTATCCTTTCACCTAGCTTAACCAGTAAAGTTGCTGGATTACATCATCATGTTGACTTCCAGCCACTATTAATCACTTCAAAATTAAGTCTGAAAGAAATTATATAACGCAAGCAAAATCCCATGTGCCTCGCTGTAGCTCAATGTATTTTATCCTGGTATGATTGGATGGCAAAATTTAGAAGGAAAATAATCAGGGTTTGTGCATCTTTTTGCCTCCATCTACTTGCTTAATCACTTTGGTTTGCCACTGCTTGATCTTTATGAAACCTGTCAAATAATACCCGTTTATACACATAACAGTATTGAGAAGGTCCAGCTTCCTGACATGGGCTCCTATCGATGTGCTGTTCTATCAGAAAGCCACCAGACCTTTTCTGAGGAGGGGAGCATTCAGCTGGAGGGTGAGTTCATCTTCAGCTTCCTGACGATAGCTACTACTCTGAGTGCTGCAGATTAATTTGGATCGTTAAGCAAGTCGAGACCCTGATTCAGCTAATTTTGTCTCAGGCCTTCCTCATTTCTCTGTGGAGCCTGAGCACATGTCTGTAGTGGCCAACGTATCCCTGAGCCTGAGATGTGTGGCCCACGGACCTCCAGAGCCAGTCAGTGTCATCTGGCTTCAGGATGGTGCTCCTCTCAATTCGCTGACAGACCCGGTGGCCCTGTCACCCTCCACACTCAACCTCGCAGGTATCATCTTTCACTCTCTATTATCTATGCAGTCAAGGCCCCGTGTAGACAGCTTAGTCAGACCCATTAAAATATACATCCTACATCAACTCCTCAAGGGCTCTCACATTGCACTGATTCAGCCCAATGTTTAGTAATCAGTAAAATAGTACTAAAAAATGCCCATTCCATGTTGACAGAGCATAAGGTGACATTTTCAAATTGTTTCAGTTAGCGGTGTTCGTGCCTTCGAAAGGGTCCCAGATTAACATGCAAGAATTGAATAATTCACCCACTTTTAAAATAATTACGTATTTCACTCAAGGTGTATTAGCATGGAGAGCAGGGATGCTGAGGGGGTTGCAGCATGGCCTAAAACAAGGCATTTTAAAACCATCAATTGATAATAAAGGGTGATGCAGATTCACCGCAGAGAGAGAAGTAGCGTCAAGTCTGTTATAATGCGTAAATGTTTTAAAGTGTACAAATCTTTTCTAAAATTGAGTGGATGATTTGAAAAATGATATTCCAATAAAATCTTGTTATACATCATTGGGTTGGGAACCACATTAGCTTTTGAAACAGCAAATCCTCACATTTGAAAAGCTAGAACCAAAAAATGGCATTTTTGCATGATAAGAGTTAAACAATTAATCAATCATTGAAATGATTGATTTCTGCTTTATCGATTCATCAGCTACTCATTTCAGCACTACATCAGTCAAAAAGAAGTCACTGTCAGCAAAAAAAGCCCCAAGTTTTTAAATGACGATTTAAAAAGCACTGATTTTAATGTAATATATTTAAACTGATGTATTGCTTCAAAAGCTACATTACAAGTGTCTTCTGTAGTTTCAAAGCGTTCTAAATCCCCCCCTCCATGGCTTAAACAAAACCACCAAATAACCACCCTCCCCAGAGAGAGCTGGCTGGCTGGCACAGCGCCAGTGGATACATTCAGGACATGCCTTGTGGTTGTGTGGTTGATGGGTAAAGGCAGAGCAGCAGGCACAAGAGGACCTATTAGTGGAAGGAAAATAGATGGGCAGAGCGCATACTGAGATAAAAGAAAGAGGGAGAGAAAGGGTTCTGTTGCTGCTTGAATGCAAACCACAGCTGCCTGCCAGATAGCTGGCCTGTGTTAAGTCCAGTAGGCGACAGGCAGAGCAGGCTGAGTCAGATGGAAGGAGGGAGGAGCAGGCAATAGCGGCCAGTTTAAGAAACTGACTTGACTCATCAGAGTGGGCTGGCTGGTGCTGACCAGGATCCCTTTGACGGTAAGCTACATTCACGTCTCTGGAATGGACAGCTGCTCTGGCAGACCACAAGTTCAAACCAAGACAAACAGAATAAAAAAAAATAAAAATGTAATATGCCCGTAAAGAGAAATGGTTTGAAGTTCATTCTAGCCATTAAGGAATCAAGGGCAACACATCAAGTTCAAGTTTCAGGTAGTTTCCATTCTGATGGCTCTTTTTATGCATTCTCCACCAGTTTTAGTAAGTTAACACAACTTCAGTTAAGTCTTATTATGTCCTTAAGTCTTATTATTATGTAATGTAGACATCAGCAGATACTTGGAATGCTGTATGTATATAAAAAAAAGCTACAGTTTCAGTACTGTTCACGAAATGTTGATTCAAATTCTCTAAAGATGAACGTCAGCACTTCCTCATTGGCATTGTTTCATTTAAAATCCAATAAGAGCTCAAATGTCTAAATCTTTTATCTAGTAAAAATGCAGAAACATTCACTGTTTTCAGATTTACTTACTTTTAAATCTTTGCATTTGGGTATGGTGATGGGTATATTTCACTACTTTGTAACATTGTACAGTTTCTTAAATGAATCAAAAAATAATTAGAATAATCAATAATGAAAGTATTAATAGCCTTAAATCCAATATTCTGTACAAATCTATGAAAAGCACAGCAATGCACTGTACATGTCAGCCAAGGAAAGAAGCACCAGGGCTATTATTCCCAGCTGACATTAACACTGTTGGTCAATACTGTCTCATGAGCTCAAGAGTTCTTCCGAGTGACCGATTATGACATTCTCAGCTGGCCGGGGATTGTTGTTTTGCGGTTTGCTGATAGGGAAGGAAAGAGACAGAAGGGTGAGTGGCGCAATTTCGAGACAGCCTGATGAGCAGTTCATTCACACACACAGCCAGTGGTCATCCCTCACTCCTCCCTCCCTCCTTTTCCTCTCTCACAACCCTTTGCTTCACCCAGCGAGGATCGTACCCCCTGTTCTTTTTCCGGCCACAACACAATGGAGGCTTGGTGCCGTCGGCGCGGAGCAACACATTGCGTGATTCTGAGTCTCAGTTTGTGGCTTATTGACAATGTTAGGGTGTTAGATAACAGTGATAAAACTTGAAAGTCACATGTTTCAGTGTGTGTGTGTAAGCCTGTCTTGTGTTGTGGAATGATTTGAGTGTGTGAGCATGCTATGAGTCACTTTGTGAGAGGACTCATTCTCTGTTGAATGTCAGTGTGTGTCACAGTGTTTTGGCCCCTTCAGAGGAGCCCCAGCCTCTTGAAGGCAGCAGCTCAGCCTTTTACACCTAGACCTCAACTCGGCCATGCGCTTTGTTCGAAAAGCCTTCTCTGCAAAAAAAATTCAACTTCAATTTCTTTTTCACCATCAGGTTGCAGACATGAAAAACCACAATTTGGCAGTCTTAAACTATGTAGGTTAGAGATTCTTAAGAATAAGTTTATTTTATAAAGATTGATTAAATCTTACTTTGTTGAAAGCATGTTTGTACCCAGCTCAGGAGACAGGAGCACTGTAATCAAATGTGAACGGTTTAAAATAGAGCGTGATAAGACACACTGATACCATATTTAACAGAATAAGGTGGTGTTGGATGGAGGGGTTGCAGAGACTTTACTGGACAAATTCTTTACCTTTAAAAGCCTGTGACTGCTAGTCTGTTTTTGATGAAATGTGACAGAAAGATTCTTGACACAGATTGGTCCAAGGCAAGTTTGCATCATTCCTGCCAGACAAGAGTCTGTGCTACAGTAGACCTACAGTAATTACTTGCCAAAATTATGTTTATTATCTCAAAATGGTACTCTCGCATCAACAAGCACATGCTAACCCCCATACTAATTACTGTTGACTGAGAGATCACACTGCCTTAAGGAAACTATTACCCTCATACTATTCTCACTTTAGTATGAACTGTCAAAGTGTTTCTCACGTCAGCATTATGTGCAACTCAGCATGCTGAGCAAGGTTTCAAAAGACCCTGGATGTTCCCACTTCAGATGTGCATGTTATTTAATTTTTCTGCCCAGGTTTGAACAGGACAAGCACCTTTTCTTGCGAGGCCCATAACGACAAAGGTGTGGCCACCTCTGGATCTGGTACCATCACTGGTAGGTGTCACACTGTGGAAGCATAAACATCAGCCCTCTTCATTCATTCTGGATAAAATTTTCCAGTTAAAATTGTTAATTACATAGTTTGTTGTTGTTATATCTCTATTTATTTTTGGGTCTTTCTCTCTTTCTTTAGTTCTCCCGTCCCAGCCTCAGAATCTGAGAGCTGTGGAGTTCAACCAGACCAGTCTCCGCTTATCATGGCAGGCTGGTTTTGGAGGGGACTACCCAATAATCCGCTGCACTGTTCAGGTGAGACAACAGGAGATAAATGTGAATACCACAACTAGCTGGGAAAACTAGCTTGGAAAAGCCTCCACAACTGTTTGACCTGCATGTAAAACAAATACATCACCCTCCCCCTATTTGTGGGACCAGGGCCTTACCTCATGTAAGCCTAATTTTAAAGAAAAGAGAGCTTACTTTTCTTTTCGTCTCTTAACTCATCCTCTACCCCTCCCTGCTTTATACTAGTACCACTAGATCAGGTTTCACTCTGGGAAAGTGGCCTCCTGGACTAATCTTATGTAGCACCACTCCCTCTCTCTCTCTGTCAGTGACTCTCTGCCACTATCCTGCTCTGTGGCTATTACAGCTCATGACTGGGAGGAGGAGCATTTTCTCCTGGAAAACGGAGCAGAACCACCCCAAAACGTCTGGTTCTAATAAAGCTGCCCCTCATACCTCTTGCTATTCTTGCCCCCTCCCCTCAGCCCTCCCTCACCCCTTCACCCTCACAGGGGAACAAGGCGAGGGGCCGGCTTCAGCAGAATGGGGCAAAAATCTAAATTTAATGGTCCATTGTGTGGCGAAGAGAAACATGAAAGAGGCTTCAGTGTAAAAAGCAGAAAAATATTCCTGTGCTCCACAAAGGAAGCATAAAAAAGAAAGACAGAAAAGAAAGAAAGAAAGAAAGAAAGAATGAATGAACAAAAGAAAGAAAGAGAGAAAGTCAGTTACAGAAAACAGGAAAAGGCAGTGACAGCAGGTATTGTGGGTCTGAGACACAGATGGGGAATGCATGCTGAAGTGTGACTCAGGGCTGAGGTGTACAATTAGATTAAACACGGTTGTGTACAGGCTGGATGGTGATTCATCGAGTCAGGAATGACTCATTCTCTCTCTCTATCACACACTCACACACATTCATGTATTCCTCATTCATACAACTTAATATTCCCTGGAATCACACTAGCTAATTCATGCCATCCCCAACCTAGCTAACAGCATCTGCTGTTTACACACACCTAATATGTTGGTGTGGCTGCTCATTTGGTCATTATTAAGTTCTCAGCTCTTACTGTAAAGCCTGCCCTGTGAAGTGCAGCCTGAAGCCTGCAGGAGCCGCTTGATAATGAGCAATGCAGCAATGGTCCAGACCAGTAACTTTAATGTGGTTTTAAGATTGCTGAAATGAAGCATTTTTCCTGCCCTGTGTTCCTCTTTAAATTTGTTTACCACAGAGAGTTTGCAGAGACAGCAGGTTTCTGATTTTTTTGTTGATGGGTTCTGCTTTCAGTGCACCTTACTGAGATTTGTTTACGTTCAAAACTGCAATGCAGGTTTTACACTGTTTTTGGCAATTTACAATTAATGACCACCCCCCAGCACCTTTATGCACAGACTCATCCAGACATCTCTCCCACAAAACCTCATACCCAATACTGTCAGTTATTGTACATACAGGGAAAAATAATATTAGAAAATATTTTTGATTGCAGAAACAGGAAGTTTGTTTCTAGTCTTGACATGAGCATACTGAAATATCATTGTATGAACATAAATCAATTTTAATCATTTAAAAACTGTGTCATTTATTATTATTTCTCTTCCAGCAGACCAAATCCAACCCACAAGTTTAGTTAAATAGTAAAAGACAAACTTTCCTAGATTAGTGTTAATTAAGACTACATTTCCCATAATAATCCAGTTGCTTTCTAACGCAAAAAATACTGCTGTGTCTCAATTCGGATACTTCCATTAGTACACTTTCACATAGTACACTGGGAACACTATGTACTGACTTGCGTAGTGCAGGAATTTCAACAGGGTAGCGCACTGCATTTTGCCATAATTGTCAGTGTCAACAATCTTATGCGCTCAAAACAGCAAGTGTAAGTACGGAAGAACGCATATTGAGAAACAACCTTAATTCTAATCGCTCTCTGCTGTTGCTCTGCACTTGTTTTTGTTACTATAATTTAAGCTTTTTCTTTGGCTTCACTTTAAATTATGAACATGTTGAAAGAGATGCTTTCATTAACTCATCTATTGTATGCCATTGCCAAAAACTTTGGCTTTAGATCCATTGGCACTGAAAAAACAGCGTCCTCTTCCTGTTTGCGTCATAAAGCAATACAGATTACCCACCAAATCTTGTCACACATCTGAAATCAAGTGTAAAGGCTGGTAGAAGCTATAATAATTTTAAATTTGTTATCTGAATGTTCTAGGCCAGGCATTCAGGAGAGTCCTTCACAGGAGGCCCAGATAAGATGATCCACAACCAGAACGTGAACATCCCACCAGCCACGCACATCATCGGGAACCTGGAGCCCCACAGCCTCTATGCTTTCAGGGTGGCCTGTCACAGCAGCCAGGGCACATCTGACTGGTCGCCCTGGGTAGAGATACGCACCAAAGAAGGAGGTAAGTCATCCAAGTGAAGAGATGGGGGGTTTTTTCATCCTGGATGTGTGTGCGCATGGGATCACCTCCTCTGAAGTGTGCCAAGGTCAAGGCTGGCTGGCTACTGATTAAAGTCCAAGTCTCCTCCCATTGCTGTTGTGTACTGTAACAAGTGCAGGACAGGTGCAGATAGATCGATTGAGACACTTTGTAGGGTGTTTTTGTCTGTACCAAAGATCATTTTATTGAACTATGAAGAAATAAGTTTGTATTGCACATTTGCACATAAATACCCAGTTTGTAATATAAATGTATTTTTACTGCTAAAAATAAGCCAATTGTCTTAAGTATTGTTAAAATCTCAGGTGAAGTACCTTAGGGCAAGTCCTAGTCAAGTCACAAGTCTTCCTAGGCAAATTGCAAATCTTTTAGCTGACTAAATGCTGCCAATTGGAATGATACAGAATTTGAACACTTGCATTTCAAAGCCATGTTAGTGTTTTTCTTTACATGCAGTAGCTAAGACAAGTTTCTTCAATGAAAGGGCTAATCATTAAATATTAAAGATTATGGCTTTGCAAGGCCTGTCTGTTGCTTTCTTGAGTTTTTAGTCATTGTTCCAGGATTTTGCTAGGTTAAAATTGTGACACAAGTAACTTGAGTCTTAGGTCTACAGATCTGATATAAACAGTTTTATTTTTTGCTCAGGCAGTGGTTAATGGCTGAGTATTTGGCATTTTAATCTTATACCGTAGTTATGATCCAATGATCTCTTCTGCCTTGGGCTGTCTGTTTGTTTGTTTTCTATCTTGCCTAGAATGCAAGCTCTTATAATCTAGGCTCCTAAAAGTGGCCCCTGCTTTTCAGTTTGATTCAAAGTGTGTCGAGAGTTATTGGGAACATAATGTATGATAACAAGGATTCAGAGAATCAAGTTACAGAGCACTGTGCACAGTAATAATGCTCCTTCCTGTGCCCCTTTAACTTCTGGGGGCACAGTCTGTGTCTGTGTTTATGAAGAATACCAGACACAAGTTACTTTACCTCTGCAAACCCAGTTTCAAATGTAAACTCTTGAGGTAGAAGGCTGACTGGTATTGAAGGGACAGCATTGGTGGAAACGGAGAGGGAGGGAGGGGGGACGTTAAATTCTCCTGAAAGGCTTCAGTTAGGATCGCAACGCTCTGTCCAAACTGTAATGCTAGGCTGCTGTGTGTTTGAGTTTAAAGTGAGGTGGGATTTTCCATGCCAGCTCATGCTGTCTCTATCCCTGGATGAATAGGAATGGAAACAGTGTATACTAAGAGGGGTGATATGCCACAGGAGAGATGATGGGGGCTTTCCATAATGGAAGCTGCTTATAATCTGAAAATACTTCAACCCAGCATTTCTCATAAATTGAAAAAGGGAGAAGTAGCACTCCTTGAAAGGTTACTGTAATGGAGAAAGTGGTTTTGAGATAAGCTGGCTACTGTCCGGATTTTAAGTTTCAGTTCTTTATTATAGCAAAATTATAGTCATCTTTGTTTTGTTTCAGTGGAAAAATCCTCTGAGTTGCCAAATGATATAATTTCCTTTGGACAATTTTGTTTCATTTGTGCTCTGATAGATCTCTCTGCACTTGTCCAGATGAGTGAGAGAATGAAAAAAACCCAGAGGATAAGATTTAGCTGGTGGTCCACAATATTTCAGGGGGCATTGAAGGTCAATGGGAGTGAGAGAATGAAGGGGAGAGGTAGACTGCTCACAGCCCGGACATATTTTCCATATCTTTCTCTTTAGATTCAGTGGTGAAGACTATGACAGAATTTCCATCAGGCTCTATTGTTGAGCCTGAAATCTTTCTTTCTTGAGTTTCTTTCTGCTCCATTTGTTTATAATTAATAAATTGAACAGATATGTGCTGCACTATCTCTTACATGTGTCATCCTGGCACCGACATCCCCGTTTGCTGCTCCTCTGTCTCCTCCTTAATTCTTATGTTTTTCACTTCATTACAGACTCTTCTCCTGCCAACTCTTTTTTGTTCTCATATCCACCCTCAATTCCCAAGTTAGACTTGGCTAATTTGCTCTCATTTTGTTGCAGTCTTTTCCTACCTCAAATACTACAAACAGCCACTGAGGAATTTATTTCCTGCATCAATCAAGTTGAACAAGTTTTTTTTCTGAATCCAGCCTTTTAACTTCACTCCTTCATCTGTAAATTCTCCCCCTTCTCTGGACCTCAGATGACCTGTGATTTCTCTTTCCAGAAACACAACTAGCCACTGTGGGAAAATAAGAAAAAAAGGGTTATTGGTGGGAGTAGTCAAGGAATGGATAGAAGTGCAGGGAAACAAGGGAAGGGGGGCGCTTTGAGAAAACACTCAATTTGCTATTTTCCCAAAGCCCACTATTTTCCCCGGAGGATGACAGGACAGATGGGGGGGGGGGGGTTCTGGTCAATGGGAGAGGAAGCGAGACGTCCCCTGTCACCCGCCGAAGCTGCAAAGAGATTATGTTTTACAAATCCTTTCTCTAAATGCATTTTCCTTTCACTTCCAAAAATGCCTCCAGAAATGCATCTTTCCAAAAATCAAACATGAATGAATGAACTAAGACTGGGTGTGGCAACACAAAAGTATCATTGTGCACTCCCTCTACTTTTTTGTTACATCATATCATATGTCTCTGTACCCCTAAAATGAAGCCAAACTTACCGTCCTATGGGAGTTAGTCATGATGACGAGGTACAAAACACATACGTCACATTTAATCCTGTTAAATACTACTTCCAGTAAAAAAAGCAACCACAAGCATTAAAGGACTCCCCTTACTAAAGACAGACAACAGTCTGCTCCACCATAAAAATTGCAATATCTTTAAAAGTTGACATTTTTGATGACACTAACATTTGTGCGCTGACTGATCTGGGAAACACGTTTCCTGTGTAGTGCTGAGTTTGTTTTCATCTATGGAGAACAGACTCCAGATCCCAGGGTTATGAGTACATTTTTGGCTTAAGGATGACCCCTTTCCATCCATGTGTTGACCCACGTAGAGACTAACCAGACTGAGAGGAGGAGATGAAGCATACAGAACAGAGGAATACTGTTGCCTTGAAGGGGAGCGCTGCCAGTGTTTGAATGATGTCAAGCATGGTTTTCCGACACTGCTTCTTCAATAGCAGTACGCAACAGGATGTGAAACAGTAGTCTGCCATGGATACAGATGTTAACCTCTGCTGTTGTAAACTAATTGTGGCTCAAAAGTGTTTGTTTCTCAGCCTCTTGCCAATACAGGGCTGCTTGAATGTGCCAAAGGACAAAGGAACAACATGAGGCATTTTCTTCCTCTGTAGTTATAGGTAGTTAAACTACCTAAACTACCTATAGCTTGAAACTAAAGTGTTCTCAAGGGAAAAAGGTTTTTTTCTCCTTCAATGAGTTTTACGTCAACAATTAACATCTCTGTTTTCTTGAACTCATAGCTCCGTGACAAAAAAAGAGAGAGGCATTACCACAGGGAGGGCAGTGAGGGAGAAGAAAACATGGCAAGAAAAGAGATGGAATCATGTTGGATGGAAGGCAGGGAGAGAGAAAGACATGAAGAGGAGAGGACAAAGAGAGAAAAGGAGTGGTATTGGCAAGTTAAAGATGGAGAAGGAAGCAGAGAGAGATAGAGACAGACAGATCATAGGTGGAGACGAGCTGCTGGAACGAACCTGACTTGGAGGTTGTTTTTGCTGCCGCTGGCAGGCAGAACAGGGACCACATGTGGAAACAATCACAGTCCAAACGCTTCCTGATAACATCATGCATAGGCTGGGCCATGTTTCCCAAAGCCACACTCACTTGGTGAATGTGTGTGTGTGTGTGTGTGTGTGTGTGTGTGTGTGTGTGTGTGTGTGTTTGTGTCCAGTTAGTTTGTGTGACTTAGTAAGCCTGCAGAGAGAGTGAGAAGCAAAGACAAAGAGAGCGTTAACTGAAACCGTTACAAAGGAAATAAGCAGCGTCGTCTTCTTACGAAAAGGTGAAAAGGTTCTTGGATTTCTGTTCTATACAAGGCATCAATCACTCACACACATACACACACACACACAAATTCCTCATACTATTTCTAGCATGTGCTTCAGGTTGTTTCTCCACTGGGTATTTCTGCTGCCAGCAGCCTTTTTTTGCTCTTTGAGAGCCAGAAAAGAAAAGGGCAGGCGAGAGAATAAACAGGGATGGACAGAAGAGGGGGGACAGCATGAAGGAGGGAGATACAGTCCTCAGCATGTGTCCACCAGGGTTCGGCCTGCCGTGCTGAGACAGAAAGAGCACACAGGCTTCTTAACTCAGCTAATCGCCCCTGTCTGTGCCTTTTTTGTCCTAATAAAGCTGACTTCCCCACATTCTCTAACATATTCTCCTTCCAGCTGTTGTAGTTATCCACACCCTAGAGGCTCCAGGCTGTCAAAACAACACACGCCTGGCTAAACCCAAGCCCGCTGGCCACCGCGGCCACAGTCACAGCACTGCCGACTCCTCACTCATACCCAAAGTCTTTTGGCACGTACACTGCCACACCCTGAGCTACATGCTTACCTAACCTTACAACAATTCTACAAGTAAAACTCGATGTAACTGTGTGAGAAGTGGAATGCCTTCAAGTTCTGTTGTGTTTTGTCTTTCAGTGCCAGAACACCCACCTGTTAACGTGACCGCAGTGCTAAATGGGACCGAGGTGCTGATGACGTGGGAGGGTCCTCCAGGAAAGCTGAATGGAGAACTGCAGGGCTACATGGTGGAGTACAGCACACCTGCCACACAGCAGGTCAGTGTGGGAAACATACATTCACAACAAAACACAACAAAAACATGTGATGGAAAGAAAATATTCACTCTGTTTGGCACTGATTGTCCCACTCTTTTCTTTGTTGACAGCTTGTTGTCGATACTGGACTGGACACTGACCTGTCAATCAATCTGTCTGTACCCCTGTCCAATGTGTCTTTTCGAGTGTGTGCCTATACAGGTGGAGGGCAAGGACCCTGGACCCCCACACAGACTCTGACACTTATTGCTCCTGGTGAGTCACATGAAGTGTCAAAACGACCAAAGAAAATTATAACATATTGTGTTACATGAATGATCGCTGGTATAGATTATTTAAGATTCCTTTTTTTATCTGAAGCTGCATCATTTCGTAAGCAATAGTTTGATTTTAGCTCATAATTTCAGTAGTATTTTATAATGATCTTAATACATTTTTAAAAGAAGATTTTATGTAACTTCTACATGGATTAACATGTTGCAATACTTCCTCTATCTTAATCAAGCACCTAAACAAATTCCATGCATAAACCTACTTGGCAATAAAGCTGATTCTGATCATTTTAGGTTTTACCAAACAAAATATGTTGTTTTTCTCCTTAAATACAAAATATTGACATGAGCTCTGTTTTTTTTTTTTTTTACTCTCACAGAAATGGAGGAAATTAGAGGTGTGTAATGACCAGCTTTGGACATATACACTTACAAACAGGCTCTTCTATGACCTCTCAAAATGGTATTTAATGACACGGTGACAGTGGTAGAGGGCTCATTGTGTTCTCTCAGTTTCTTATTCTCAGCCAGTGGGTTCCTCCATTAGCATGAAAGTCCCTTCCCATGAATCTCAGAAATAAGGAAGGAAGAGAAAAAAGAGAAGACAGGGTCTCAGAGAGACAGAAAAGGGGAAGAGGGGTGTGGGGTGAATGAGAAGACGCATCATAAATATTTATAACAGACAGGAACAGTGCAGCATCTCTGTTTGCTTAGTCTAATAGAGCCAGACAGACAATTCAAACAACAAGAATGGCAGATAAAAAGAGGCAGGGAAAGTTGGGGGAGGATTAGTGTAAATGGGAGGAAAGTTGAAAACAGTGGGTGGATGTTGTGAGTGAACAGCAGTTGCAGGGGAGGCTGGGAGAATGTTTGGACAGCAAGAACTCAAAGTAGATGTTTTCAGAATAACAAAAAAGGAGCATATTTTTAGAGAGAAATGTTCTGATTTAGCTCAGATTTACTTCACCTTAACAGTCCCTCTCCTCTCAGGTTCATCATCACCCGAAGCCTTTTCCTGGCACTGGTGGTATGTGGTGATGGCCATTGCCGGCGCTGTGTCCATAGCTGTGCTCATGGCTGTTTACGTGGCCAAGCTGCGGCGCAAGGAGACTCGCTTTGGGTGCGTAGGCTGTTAGTGGTCCTCATGGGTAGTAGGGAGGAGCTCAATAGCTGTGCCAAACCAAAAAGCTTCTTGTCTTTTTTTCAGTTCTTTGACCTAGTTGCCTCACTCCTGCATCCATACTCAAACATTTGTACATAGAAGATATCTGTTTTGAAAACCGAAAACAGTCATTCTTGGAGCAATGCCATGCTTCAGCTATGTTTACACATCTGCAGAATTACCTCTAATGGTGTTGTGAATGCATTCACAGAGAGGCATTTGAACCGATGATGGAGAGCGGAGAGCTGGTTGTCAGGTACCGCGCTCGCCGCACATACAGCCGCAGGACTACAGAGGCAACATGTGAGTTTCCCTCTCTGCCCCTGCATGTTACCCAGAAAGATGACACTTGATATTGCACCTTACATCCCTACAGCAGTAAGAGAAAAGTCTCTAAGCATGCCCAAACCTGTCTCTGTCCCCAGGAAAGATAGCTAAACTAAAAAGTGGCATAATCCTCTCATGCCCTGGGCCTGGATCCAACAGTTCAACTGAAGGAAATCTTTGGCTGTTATGATACAAAATGACTGTTCTAATCTCCACATTTCAAGTAAAGAATAGCTTGTTTGGTTGATCAAAGGCAGGAACACAAACAGTTGTGAAAACAGCCTTGGAGTGTTCAATAAGCTGACATAATCCACCACAACACTTTGCCACTTAATTTATATAATGAATTAATAATAACACTTATTGTGCAACAAATCTATTCATGAAGTTATGCCATGTACAGTCAGGTGTGAACGGCAGAATTATTGACTTTGACTGATTTCATTTTGCATTTTACTGACAGAGCAGAAGAAGGAGGTGAGAGAGAAGGTGAAATCAAGATAATAATACATTGGAGAGGTTGAAGATGTGGGAAAGGGGATACAATTACTTCAGGGAGAGAGCGACTTGACGTACCCCTCCTGTAAATTAGATTTCTAACTTAAGCAACCTGTAACAACAGATGAGGTGTTGCTTGACTGCTCTATCTGGAGTAATTTCACCGTTGGGGAGTAAAGTGGGAGTTTCAAGTCTCATCCAAGTAGAGCAACAACCTTGTGCTGGTTGAATAAAAAGCAGTGGTTTGTGTACTATCACCAGCCAGCAGTCCCTGTGAGTCCTCAGACATATAAACACCTGTAAAACACAGAATATGGATTCAAAATTCACACAGCTGGCAAACGTTCAAGCCCTGACATTGTCTCTGGCACAATATTTGTGTCAACCTCATACAAAAAAAAAGTCTCAGCTTACCACAGGCACAAAGAGGAAGGGGAATCGAAAAACTGTAGAGGAAAAAAAAGAAAACAAATATATTCAGTGAGTAAAATGAGACTAGCCAAGAGAAAGAGATGTGGCGATAATGTGTACTCTGAGTGAATAGGGGAGAGTGCACTGGGAATAAAGAAAGGGGTTAGATTTGGGGTATTTGGGCAGAATTCGTGCTGCTGATGTTGACCAGTAATTTTGGCCAATTCTCAGGACAAAGTCGAACTCTTGGGCTCCTGTTATTGCATGCATCGGCTATGTGTTGGAACATGCCTGTGGACTGAGCACATTGTTGTCCAACGCGTGGCAGATTGATAGTGTAGCAGCAGCTGGAGGGGGATCTCTGAGCATGTCATTGGCTTGTCATATCTTGGCCCAGATGTGAAAACAGCCCTAATGTCTGTAGCACTGTCTGCTCACCACCATACAGCTCGATGACAGCCAGGTGGCTGAAGGGAGTCAGGGATATTTAAACCAGCTTAAATCCTCTGACCTCCCCACCTGGTCACTTGCATGATCACAGTCTGACACCTGAAAAATTATCTGAGAGGAGGGAGAGACTCTATGTCTGATATCTCTGCACAGTGGACTCCATTGTAGTTTAGGATTCTGAATTAGTTTTTATTTTTGTATAGTTTATGACTCTATTTTCAGCTGCATGTAAGATTTAGTTTTCTGAGTTTGGTAGTTTTTGTTCAGGTTCAATTACATTTTTGTTTAATTTTTGTTGTTAAATTTTAATATTTTTATAAGATTAAATGACACTTAGAATAGTAGTGTTTTAAGTATTTTTGGAACAATAGACACAGAATTATTTATTACATTAGTACAAATTCAAATAACATAGTGTTACCTTTATTTGCAATAACAAGATGAAAACTAAAAAGATTCAATTAACATTTTATTTTGGTGGGTTTTACCAATTGTTTTTAAACTGGCAGTGTTTATTAACACTATGCTTTTGGCTTAGTGTTGTGCATTGTGGTTTTACAATGTGGCTGTTTTTCTCTCTCTTCTGTGTTATTCATTAAAGGGCTTGGGCCCCAAACACCATTAAAATTCCTTATTTTTCTTCCTTAGTGAACAGCCTGGGCATCAGCGACGAGCTGAAGGAAAAGCTCCAAGATGTGATGGTGGATAGACATAAACTAACCCTGGGAAAGACCCTGGGAGAAGGTAAAGCTCTGTTTTGTTTTTGTTTTTTTAGATATGTGTCAGTCTAATTTCTGGGACACTGTGGAGTTACTATGTACAGTCTCAGAACAGAGAGTGCTTGACAAACAGCAGGGTTAGAAATGCATTTGTAAACACTTTTATATCAGGGTTGCTACATAGTGCATAGTGAGGACTTATCTGCCATAGCACCAATGCTTGCTTTCCACTTTTCTCCAGTTGCATGTTACATGTTTTGACCCCAGGTTTAGAGTTACAGTTTACAATGTAATAACCTCAAAACCATGTATTCTGTAAAGTCAGGAGACTAACCATTCTTTACTGTTTAATAGGATATTTAATGCTGATGCATCTAAAATTACATCTAAACAGAGATCTGATTGTGATTTAATTTCTTTCTTCAGGGGAGTTTGGCTCTGTGATGGAAGGGCTGCTGACTCAGGAGGAGTCTGCTCTCAAAGTTGCTGTCAAGACTATGAAGAGTGAGTAGACAGTAAAAGTACTCAGCAATCACCACAATGAATCCCTTCATCTTGGGAACACAGGCCATTTGATAGACAGCCCTCCGGGTCAGAAATTAACATGGGGGCAACAATTTCAGTTTTTGATCAGAAAACAGACGCAGCTTGTAGAAAATATTGGCAGAAGAAAAAAGTTGACCCCACATAAACCGTGGTGCCAAAGTAAAGACAATTGTGTAAAAACTCCAAAGTTGGGCGGGGGGATGCATTTTTAGGGACTGAAAACAGTACCATCCTCTTATTTGAGCTTTCTGCCAGTTTTAAGCTGTGTTAAAACAACCTTAGTGGTAAAAACTGCTAACATGTATTAGTCTTTGGTTTAATACATTTGGGAGCCAAAACACCCTCTGAAGTAAAAGTTTATTTCTTACCTTGGCAACCTCTCAGCCTGGCAGCATGTGCCATGAGCTATACAAAACAACATGGGCTTACCTCTGCACCATCTCCTCTCCAGTTGCCATCTGTACCCGCTCAGAGATGGAAGATTTTCTGCGTGAGGCTGCCTGCATGAAAGAGTTTGACCACCCCAATGTCATGAGGCTTCTAGGTGAGTCAGAATTCATACTGCTCGGCATGTCAAGGGTCACCTAATGAAAATGACAAAAATTACAGAACAGCAATGTGTCTTTATAAAAATACTGTTGAAGTTCATTAGGACACTCCACAAACTTCACTATGAATTGTTGTGATTGAAACTGCTTTCCACCAAAGGAATTCAAATTTACAGCATTTTCTGTAGATTCTCAAGAGTAACAGGGAAAGACTAGAGGTCCATGGGTTAGAGACAGAAATCTTCAAGATGAATATCTCAAAATCTGGACATATGAAACAATAGCTATCTGCTATTTACTAACTAATAGTAAATGAGAACTGCTCAAGACAGCTGTTTTGAGATTGTGTTAATTTCTATATGTATAGAACATGTAGTCTTTGTGTATAATACTTAGCTGTGGTGTTTTCACAGGTGTGTGTCTGCAGACTGTGGAGAGTGAAGGTTACCCCTCCCCTGTGGTCATCCTGCCCTATATGAAACATGGAGACCTGCACAGCTATCTGCTATACTCGAGGCTGGGAGATTGTCCTGTGGTTAGTCCGATTACAAATAATAAAGCACAGTCAGCAACTCAAACGTGCACAGACAGGCAGTCACAAGCATACACACACATAGCTTAATGGGTTCTTAGTTTAGAAGTTCACATGAATTTCTGCCGGCAAAATGGGATCCAAAGGTCAACATAGACGTAATGTATTTGTTACAGAGAGTCCCCATCCACCGCTTTTTGGCAGCACGTACACTCTGAGATCATTATAACACAAGATATGTGTCTGCCGTTGCTATCTGCAGTTTTACTTTTTAATGGATGAGATGTTTTTTTGGAATTGAGAAGTGCCATACGCAGTAAGTCCCTGAAGAGCTGGGTTAAGAAACACAAGCCTAATCAAAACAAGATTCTTACAGAATGTTGAAACATTCATGAGTTCAGCAAACATTCAAAAACATAGTGGTGTTGAAGCCTATCCTTCCCACAGGGGGAAGGCTGTTAGTATCTGAAGCAGGGATCAGTTCAGTGCTGATCACAAGTCCTCAAAGAGATGGGCCCTAGTGCCCTCTACTGTGCAGAAAAGAAATGGCAGCTGTGGTGGATGTGTGACTAAAACCTCTTTGTACTGTCCTGCAGTACCTCCCCTCTCAAATGCTGGTAAAGTTTATGACTGATATTGCCCGAGGAATGGAGTACCTCAGCAGCAAGAACTTCATCCACAGAGACCTTGCCGCTCGCAACTGCATGTAAGCACAATCTCTGCTTCCACTTTTTACTCTCGGTTCCTTTATGTGTTATCACTTGTTCTTTCTCTTTCCATTTTTGTCCTGCATGCAAGGGTTGGAGAAGATCTTAAAAATAACTGAAAGTAGACCAAGAGGATGTTCTTAAAGCAACATTTTTGAGAGGGGAAGCCCAAAACATATGATACAGGAAAGGCATGCCACTCTCAAATGGGCATTTAACTAAATTCATAATAATATAACTTGCATCATATTTTATGAGATGATACTCATAAAATACTGCTAACTATAGCTTTCAAGTAAATGTAGTGGAATAAGAAAGTTCAAAATCTGAAATAGAGTAGAAGTATAAGGTATCAAAAGTACTGTTAATACTTTTTCAGCACTGCCTGAATGCCCGTTTTCCAAAAATACAGCACTGTAACACTCTGTTTCCTCTGCCTCAGGCTGAATGAAAACATGAATGTATGTGTGGCTGACTTTGGCCTCTCCAAGAAGATCTACAATGGAGACTACTACAGGCAGGGGCGGATCTCAAAGATGCCTGTCAAATGGATCGCTATTGAAAGCTTGGCTGATCGTGTCTACACCACCAAGAGTGATGTGGTTAGTTCAACTATTATGTTTTTGTGTCAGTGTGTGTGTGTGTGTGTGCTTGTAATAATCCCATTGTGGATCAGGAATCTGTTAAATTACGCTCGAGGTTAAAGTCGTACTTTTCCCCTAATCTGCCTTTTGAGTATCAAAAAACTTGGAAGGACTTGAAATGTGTTTCTAAAAGTTACAATAGATTATTTTAGTGGCGATAAATTTCCCAGAAGAAACAATCAAAACCTCTATAGAATCATCTTAAAGCACACTGCAGCATAATGCACTACTCTATTGGCCATCTGTACGCTCAGTGTTTTTTAATCAATCCTCATTTCACCAATATATCTCAAAATACACTACTTTAAGTCATGGTTTTGGAGCTTTAAGGAGAGTGACAGCACCCAATAAAAGCAATGTATTTCAGCTGTATTTTGGAGTGTTTAGAAACTATTGAGGATATTGATGAACAGTGGAGAAGTAAATGCAGCAGGAGTATGTTATAAATTGATTTGCATTTTAATAAGTGAATAAGTATTTGTAATCAGAAAGATTTCTGCCCCCCCAGGTGTCTTTTATACAGGCAATGAGCTGAGATTAGTAGCACGCTCTTAAAGGGAGTACTCCTAATCATGTTTGTTACCTCTATAAAAGACACTTGTCCACATAAGCAATCAATCAATCAGATTCCAAACTCTCCACCATGGCCAAGACCAAAGAGCTCTCCAAGGATGTCAGGGACAAGATTGTAGACCTACACAAGACTGGAATGGGCTGCAAGACCATCGCCAAGCAGCTTGGTGAGAAGGTGACAACAGTTGGTGCAATTATTCACAAATGGAAGAAACACAAAAGAACTGTCAATCTCCCTCGGTCTGGGGCTAAAATCGAGCTCTTTGGCATCAACTCAACTCACCGTGTTTGGAGAAGGAGGAATGCTGCCTATGACCCCAAAAACACCATCCCCACCGTCAAACATGGAGGTGGAAACATTGTGGTTTGGGGGTGTTTGTCTGTTTAGGGGACAGGACAACTTCACCGCATCAAAGGGACAATGGACGGAGCCATGTACCATCAAATCTTGGGTGAGAACCTCCTTCCCTCAGCCAGGGCATTGAAAATGGGTCGTGGATGGCTATTCCAGCATGAAAATGACCCAAAACACACGGCCAAGGCAACAACGGAATGGCTCAGAAAGAAGCACATTAAGGTCCTGGAGTGGCCTTGCCAGTCTCCAGACCTTAATCCCAATTTGTGGAGGAAGCTGAAGGTTCGAGTTGCCAAACGTCAGCCTCAAAACCTTAATGATTTGGAGAAGATCTGCAAAGAGGAGTGGGATAACATCCCTCTTGAGATGTGTGCTAACCTGGTGGCCAACTACAAAAAACGTCTGACCTCTGTGATTTCCAACAATGGTTTTTGCCACCAAGTACTAAGTCATGTTTTGCAGAGGGGTCAAATACTTATTTCGCTCATTAATCATTTTGATATGCATTTTTCTGATTTCTTTTGTTGTTCAAATAAACCTACCATTAAAATTATAGACAGATTATTTCTTTGTCAGTGGGCAAACGTACAAAATCAGCAGGGGATTAAAAAATTTTTTCCCTCACTGAATGTTTTAGGGGCCCTGGTTTCCATGCACATGTGAAAGTGTAAAAAAGGATGTACATTCCTTTGTAGGTTGTGCATAAAGTAGAATGTCCAGACAAACATGGCTGTGTTATTTCTTTAGCTAATGTTTGACCAGTGCAGTTTCATGTTTGAGTAGTGTGTGTGTGTGTGTGTGTGTATATAACCTGAATGAATTCAAAACTCCTTAACCCTTCCCATTTCTCTCTGTCTTTACTATTTCCTACTCCTTTCTTCCCTCTCTGTCTCACTCTTAGTGGTCATTTGGAGTCACCATGTGGGAGATTGCCACACGGGGCCAGACTCCATACCCTGGGGTAGAAAACAGTGAGATTTACGATTACTTGAGACAAGGAAATCGTCTCAAACAACCTCCAGACTGTCTGGACTGCATGTGAGTGTTGACTCCTTCACTGCACATTCCTCACAAAAAACACTCAACTGATGATAAAGTACCTTGGAAATCTTTTGCCCCCTGATTAGATTAGAAGTACCTTTTTTCCCCACAAGGCTATTGAGGCTAAAACAGTTCTAGTCTATTGTGTATTCAAGTAAATTTATTATCGGAACATTTTTTGAGGAAAAAAACTTTATTGGCTAAGCTTGAAATGAATTGCAGTTAATTAATAGGAAGTGTGCCAATTGCACTACATTTATTCTCCAGTCCAGAAAATGTCCTAAGAAATTACACATGAAATATGTTAATTTCTAGGAAGTTATAAGGCAACTATAGAACCTGTATAATGGAGTATACAATTAACTTTTCTTCATCGTCTCCAGCTATGCCCTGATGTTCTCATGCTGGCTACTGAGCCCAAAGGATCGCCCATCGTTCGAGTCCCTGCGCTGTGAGCTGGAAAAGGCCCTTGAAGATCTGCCAGATTCTCAGGATCCTGACGAGATCTTGTACGTCAATATGGATGAATCCTCGATGGAGCTTGGAGCTGTAGGTGGCCGTGACCCCATTGGGTTGCCGTCCCCTCTCTGCCTGAAGGGCCTGGACTCTGTGACCACAGTGGAAGTCCACCAACCTAACCGCTATGTCCTCTGTCCCCAACACGAGACCAACCGAGCCCTCTCTGACTCGCTGGAGAGCCTGGATATGCCAGTGTCGTCCTCCACAGCCACACTGCCTCTACAGCCATCGTGCCACTCGACTCCCAACCCCACCCCAGCTCCCACCCCAACTGTTGAACTGCTGGAGGACAGGGAACAGTCCAGGAAAATGCCCTGGCAGTGATGGTTTCACTCTTAAAAAATGACAAGACTACCAAAGTGTGCCATCCTTTCACCCTAGTCCAAGAATGAGATCCAGCCTCTTGCTACTGACCACAAAAAACCTAATGTGTCCCTATATACAAATTTTGCACACAAAAAAACACACACACACTCGAAGACATTCCAAGGAATCGAAGGATTGGGATTATTTCCATTGTCAACCCTCCCTTTTTTTTAAATGACCACATTTCCAAGTGAGTGTAAAAGTTCATGTGTGATTAGTGTAGCAGGTGGAACACACTAACGATAGACAGTGGGTGAACAGGTTTAGAGCACATGTTGTCCACATACACTGCAGCACAATCAGAGAAAGGAATTCCCAGTTGCTATAGCAATAAAATACCAACTACCTGTATACAACAGAGTGATCTCCCTCACATGATTAAGCTAAATCAAATGTCTCTGTGAAACCAGCCTAGACACTGCCAGACTGAATCTATAACCAAACAAACTCAGGTGCTTAAACTTTCCAATGAGTAAGCGCTAACATGGAGGACTCACACCAGCTGAGGAGACTGTTCCTCTGATGGAGAAACCTCACCCATCTGATCCCTGCTCCTGTGTAACTCAGCGCAAAAATAACTTGAGGATTTGTGGGAAAGAAGTATCAGTGTAACATATGATCGGGTGAAGATAACTGGCTGCTTTAAGGTTATATTGATGCAGATTTATGAGTTTTGGGCTAAAATCACAAACATTGGTTTTGTTGAGCATTTTCTTTTGCTTGAGTACCATAAATTTCCTATTTTGAGCTGTGGTTTTTGACAGGTGTCATAACTTCAAGTATGGTAGAATTTTCTCTCCCCACAGAAAATCATGTAATCCTCCAACTAAAGTTCACCATACCTGAAGTTAGAAGAGTTTTACCCAATAACAACAGAATGAAATATGAATTTTAAAACTGAAGAATTAAGAGAGATAACCAAAATTTGCAAAGAAAATAATATTCCACTGTAGGCTTTAGAGACTTTTGCATAAAGCTGTATGAGTGAGGAACCTCCATCTTAATCAGAACCTACAGCAGTTTGTATGATAGCCTAATGTAGCGTTCTAACAACCCCTGCATCCTCTATAGGGGTTGTACTGCTGTGCATTAAGCACCGTGAGCCATTTACAGTTGACACAAGGTAACTCTTTCCTCACTGACAGGTGCGACACCTGTGCAAGTCCTGATTCAACAAGTCTACACATCTTTGTCACAACTCAGGAACCTGAGACTGTTCAACAGGGACATAGGTACCGGTCAAATCAAGAGGGTACAAATAATCAGAGGCAGATGGATGGACTGAGTATAGGTACGGACATGATGGAGTTATCCAAGGCAAATGGTTGGCTAAGCTCCTCACCTTTGCTTTTGGCTCAAGCACAGTGTTATTACACATTTTGGATTTGTTTAATGCTGATTTTTGTATTTCTACAACTTTGCACTAATGTTTTATATCTATGTATGTTTGTTTTGTAATTTGTATATCTTTCATGCTTTTTCATTTTGTGTTTTAATTACTTTCTGGACATTCAGTAATCCTGTAGTTGCCTCTCATGAAATCACTTCACATGTAACAACTTGCATTATTCATAAAGGCAGAGAACAAAGCCTGTAAAAAGCATGGTAGGGCTTTAAACTCCATGAGTGTTTTCCGTAAATGAGCAAAGACTGGGAGAGTGGGAAACATGACTGTCATCTGACATCATCCTGCCACTCGCTTATTCTGGGATATTTTTGTTTCGAGGTTTAGCACTGTAAATAGTCTGTTACCGGTAGCGTCGAAGAAGAGAAGACAGAAAGCAGCAGCTGAAAACCAAATGGAAGTGTGGTCATCCAAGCCTCTGCTTCCACCAGCTGCAACTTTGCATCATGCATGCACTTATTTTTATATATATATATATATATATGGACCATATTCCAACACACATTTTGGGAGAATGTTTGTTTAAATGAGACACTGTGTCTCTCAGTTGTATACATCAAAGGTACTTACATATGAAACAGGATACAAGGATATGTTATACCTGGTGTGTTAATGAAATTCCTTGTTAAGATAAAGAATGCATTTCTTTAATACGTTTGGTACTGTATACTCTGTGAGTGGTAGTCCTACATTGTTTGTGAACTACAGAGCATGGTGCTGAGACTGAGGCACTGTTCTAATTTGGTCTGTACATACTTTTACATACCAATTTCAATACAGATACACATTCTGTATTATACCAACCAGTGGGTTTGGAACATTTTGGCCTTTGACAAAAAGAGGGGGCAAAAACACACTATCTTCCAAGTGGATTCCAGCAAAAAAGGGAATCTCATTCTTCATGACTTTAGTCAGTTCAGCCTTAAATTTCAGAATTTCACTACTTGATCTTCAGTGCCTTCAGTGAGCCTGTATTTTGATGTGTATGTGGATTATGAGTATCCTGGTGTATTGAAGTGGGAGAGGACTAAACTATAATTGCCTTTATATTATCACTGTCATGACTTGTAAACATTTTTTTACAGTATCTACAGTATTTTGTATAATAAATAAATGTGTTCATGAATGATCACTCTTCCTGAGCTTTGTGTCAAATGTGTTAGTGACATGTTTTTTAATTCAACTAACTAACAATACAGCATTATAACTTAATGTCTTAAGATTTACACAGCAGGAAGTATAAGAACCTGATATAAACACAGTGGTTGACATAGCTCTCTGTTCTCCTGGCCCCAGCTCCCTCCAATCATGCTGCTTCTTAAACTAAAAATTGGAGTGACAACAAAAAAAAAGTAAAGTTTACCCTGAGGGTGACGCTAGACGAAAGGGTGGCCTACACTGTTAGCCAAATCAAAAGTGTTTCTGTACAGTGGTTATCTTAGGACACATACTTACTTTGTCATGCTAGACTTATTAAATTGTATTCAGCAATGCTTTGAGCTAAATGCTAATGTTACCAATCCTGTTGTAGTTTCAAATTAAATGTGGAATTGTTCTACTATCTCTTGGTATGTTAAACACCAGTATTTGTGTGTGTGTGTGTGTGTGTGTGTGTGTGTGTGTGTGTGTTTGAAAGTATTCGCCGGAAGTGTTAACAAAACTTGGCGAATATGGATGTGTGATGTGTGTGCGGAAAAATGCTTGATAGCGAACCCTATCCATTTTCTAAACAAAAAGCCTTTGTTTCACCAAGACGTAGGCTATCAATTTGGGAGGCACATCATGTCTAGAAAAAAAAAGCCTTTAGTAACTATAGTATACCCTAAACCCAACAGGAAGTCAGCCATTGCCCCCAATTATAGTATAATTATTAATTTCTGTCTGTAAGCGGTAGCATAGGTTGTATGTAAAATATGAGGTATTTAACACAATAATATATTAACTTGCTGTGGGTAATTTCATTACCTTTAAATGAATATTTTAAATTACCATATTTTTCACCATTCAGGTACACATGCACTAATAAGGCTGTCTAGTTTATTTATGTACTTTATGTAATTCATTATGTTTTGTTTGGGAACCCCTGGTCTTTTTGTTCACATGAATGTAGCTCACTCTTTATTGTACTCAAAGAAAAAAAAAACAAATTGATCCAGATTTGATCAAATTGATCCAGATTTGGAAATCCCATGTTTTGCTATCCAGGATCACCTGATCCATTTTATTTTTATGCCAGTTTTTTAAAGGAACATTGGATTGGATCACTGTGATCCAAATACCAAATTTCAGGATTACCAAATCCTGTTTACCAGAGCCTTAAATGGAACCAACAGTGTAGCCTACTGGCTTAGCAAAGAACAACAGGTAGGCAAAATACTGGTGGCCACAAATAGCCATTGTTTATTTTAATTTTAAGAAACAGAAACACTGTAATAAACAAACATTTTACTTTCCTTATTTTGTTATAATTTAATATATAATATTAAATAACAAAACAAAAACAATACTATCAATAGTCAAAAATCATTTACAGGACAGATACCAGCTCTTTCCATCTCTGCTTGTAGGAGATGTTTCTCCATCTGCACTTTTTTCTGCTGCGGTTGGGTAAGCAAGATTTGTTCTTTACCCAGTTCAATTTGTATTTCTGCTCTTTCAGTTTCCCGTTTCAGAAGCAACTCATAGCTGTCACCATCCTGGTTTGTAGCTGAGGAACATTTGCGTTTTCTTGTAGGAACGTCTTGGACTGTCTTCATTACATACACTGGGGATTTATCTTCCTCCTCATTCACTGAAGTCCAGGACAAACATTTCCTCTACAGGAGAACAAGTCCTAATCTCTGTAATTGTGGCCTCTCCATCTGCTTTGATGCCTTCAATGCCATGCAGAGCCCTTTTCTCCTCCTATGATATCAAGGATCATATCAGTGAAATCACCCGTCTTATATGGCTTGTTACCTGTTTGGGGGTTCTTGGCTTCAGTAAGGTCTTTCGTTGCCTTAGCTCTAAGGTTCTTCCATTGCAACATAACTTGTTTTATGGTCCTCTTTTGGCCAGACCCCATGGCATTGACATGATTGGTTATGTCCTCCCAAATGTTGTGTTTTCCTTTTTTGGTCAGTTCTCCACCCTTTGCAGAGCTGAAGCCTCCTACTATCGAGGCAAAATTGGCCCGAACACCCTCCAGCATTGCACAGGTTTCTGCCACAGTGAAATTAGGCCCTTTTGATTCCATGGTTCCAACCCTGTGGTGTCGCCAGCACTGATCTTAAAAGCTTTGAGCATGATTGCTTTGGCTTGTGCTCAATTAGGCTTACACCAATTAGCTCATTGCTGGTTAATGGGTGACACCATTTAAACACGTCATGTCTTTGCACCCATTTCTCTTAGCCTACAGAGGCATCCACATGGCGGGTATTGTTCATTGTTACCGTAGGAGGAGGTACCGTCAAAGGTGCACGCTGAGCATGCCAAACCACTAGAGCAACACACATCAGAAGAACTGTATGCACATTTTCGCTTTGGGAGAGATGACTTTAAGTACATTGCAGATCTTGTCAGGCCAATACTCCAACACCGAACCCAAAGGAGTCATGCTTTATCCATGGAGGAACCGTGCTTAATCACATGTGGGACATTCTACCAAGTTATTGGTGACATATGGGACTGAGAAAAGCAACCATGAGTAATGTGGTGAAGGCTATGTCAGTAGCACTGGGCAGTCTGATCAATAAATTTGTTTCCTTTCCCAAGGAGGCCAGGTGTTGGGACACCTGGAAATTTGTTTTTGCATCAACTTTCAAGGCTTCATTTACTTCCATTGGAGGGGACTATCTCACGACATTGTGTAACATTACCTAAAAGTTCTCATTCCGAACCTTTACAGAACATTAGAGATGTTCTTATAACATTCTCTTTTGGTTATGAAAGTGCAGCAGTTCAGCATTCCTTAAATTACTTTAGGGGGCAGTTCCGTTTTTGTTATTTCATGGTCACAAAGCAACACTACAGAGAGGACATTTGGGACATAAGCAGAACGTTCCCATGTGGTCCTCTGTTGGCCATATAAGAACGTTTCGTTATGAACTTAATGAGAATGTTCTCATATGGTTCTAAGTTGATCAAATAATAATGTGTGGATAGCCATCCAACAAAGTTAGTTGCATAAGTGTTGTGACTAAGGTTTGGGTGAAACAACGACAGATCAGCAGATCAGTTCAGGCTGCATAGTCCTGCAATAGCTGGATACTTCCAGCCCCCAAGTAGTCTATGGGCCAAGCCAGAATTTGGTACCACCTAAGGTGGCAAACTCTCTTTGGTACCAGTTTGTATATAAGTACTTTAAAACATTACAACCATTCATAAAGAGTAGCTTTACTCATTTTTGGGACAATCATTGTTTTTGCCAATATGGTTCTACAGCTGTGGAGGAGACGCCAGAAGACGTTACATGAGGAGAGCTGGACAGGGTGGTAGAAGGGTATCAACCCAGCAGCAGGACTAGAGTCTGCTTTTTTGTGGAGGAACTGAGGGAGCACAGCCAGGGACCTATAAAATTACCTCCACCAGGCTACTGTTGGACATGTTTCTGACAAAACTGCCCAGCACCATGCAGCTTCATTAGCATTCACCAGAGAAAACCAGAATATTTAGCTGTATTTTGGCACAAGTGTTTAGAACCTATTGAACATATGGATGGACAGTGGAGAAGTAGATGCAGCAGGCTTGGTTTAAGAAGTTTAACTGGTATTGAAACAATTCTCCGCCAAGGAAGGAAGCACTGTACAAACTTTTTCCTTTTTCCTGTCTACAGAGGGTGAGTGTAGTAACAAGCAATTCGAATGCAGATACACCTTCTGTATTTAACCAGTTGGTTAGGAACATTTCAGAATATCTTTGGACAAAAAGGGGGGGGGGGGACTATCTTCCAAGTGGATTCCATCAAAAACTGAAACTCAGAATTTCAGAATTTTACAACTTGGCCCTCAGTGCCTGCAGAGACTCAGTACTTTGCATTACAGTGGATGTGTGTGTGGATTGTGAGTGTCCTGATGTGCCGAAGACTGTATAATTCCCTTTATATTATCACTGTAAACACTTCAATATAAACATTTCTTTCTACAGTACCCACAGTATTTTTTATAGTAAATGTACAATCTACCTGAGCTTTGATGTAGTCAATATTAATGTCATCCATATCAAGTGTGTTAGTGATTTGTTTATTAATTCACTTAATCAACAATACAACTGATATGAGGTGTGTTTTATGATCAGGAAGTTTAAGAATCTGAGATAGACAACACTGTGGCTGACATATACTCTGGAAGATCACTTAACAACTAAAAACACATGAAATAGTTGAATAATATACAGAATTTATAGTTCCTATAGGTGTGTGTGGTCTCAGAAGTGGATGTAAGAGATCTGCACATCGCCTTCTATGTCCAGCATGTCAATCTCATGGAAGGACTGCAGGCGGTGGACGAAGTCAAACAAGTGCTGCCCATTCACAAACACCTTAAACCTCTGGTCCCCACAGCGAATCGACATCTGAGAAACAAGGTAGACAAATCAAAACACAGCTGACCCACAGTGAGTCAAAATAATGTAGATCATAATGTAGAACACAGCAAAATTATTTAATCATTCAATGAAAGGACAAAATATAAAATCTGCATGACAAATACTACTTACATCAAAGTACTGTCCCTCCATGAAGGGGTTCATGCTGAGCTCTCTTTCTTCCTGGCCCCAGTTACCTCCAAGCATGCTGTTTCTCACCACAATCCCCTCCCTCACCCTGGGGTTCATGTGGAAGGCGATGTCCCGAGATCTGCTCACTTTGAAGTTGATGCTCAATCTGCAGCAGACAGACCCGGGAGTGTAAAATGTGTCTCTTAGCACTCACATAACTACACTACAGTAATTTAAAGTGTGTACATTCAAAAACACTCACTTGTTTGCTCCAAAGGGCACCATGCCTCTGATGATGATGGTCCTCTTAGGGAACATCCCACCTGGGATCATGTTGGAGTAGGGCACCGCCTTAAAACACACAGCAAAAGTAAAATGAGACAAATAGCAAAAAAACGAAACTCAACAATAGTGGCCCCTGTGAGGCTGAATTGTTCATTACACACAG